AGCGCAGGGACAGCCACTGCTGCCCGCATCCTCCTCCACCTCAGCTAGCCAGGGGCTCGCCTTCACCCCACTTCCATTGAAGGGATTTCTTCCAGTTGCTTCAAAAAATACAGGGAGATGAAGGTCAGTGCTCAGGAAGCTGGTGTTTGGGCAACGTTTTCCAGGTATAAATGAAGATTTGCTTACGCTCAACACAAAGGCTGCAGAGAAAAATTAATGATCTTATCAGGTGAAGCAGGTGTTGTGGTCACACCGTCAAGGTCACTGGCATTAACAAAACACTCTGAAAGCAGAACGGTGGCATGTTCCCAGCAAGGTGCTGGAGTGTTGCAGAGATAATGTGCTCGGCCTCGAGGGGAAAAAGCGCGATGCGCTAACATGGCTAACAGCTGCTGATGGCACAGTGCTGGGGGCAAGGAGAGGAGCTCTGACCTGCGGCCTGCGGAGGAGGCTGCAAACAACTGGCTGATTCCCTGCTGCCTCGCCCCTGCCAAGACCTCAAATGCTTGCGCCAAGCAAATACAGCATATATGCTAAATGCTATCACGTCAAAAACGCTGAGTCTTAGCGCCATTTGCACAGATGTAAAAATCTGCAGAAAGTGCAAGGTAGGGGAAAATGAGGCCTGTAAATGCTCATGCGAGAAGGATGTGAAAGGAGCCTCAGAAATGCAGTTTTAGGGACTAAGTGCACACAGCTTTTTATAGCTGAGCTCAGCAATGCCCCAGGAGCACTGAGTCACAGCAACTTGCACACATTCGTATCATTTCTTCCTGCTAGCACTGCAGAGCTGCTGCACCGACAAAAGAGATCCCAGATCTCTCTGGGATCAGCAGACCAGGCAGCTTCAGGCTGGCAGCACAGCTCCCCTCTGCCTAACTCCCACCTCTGGGTGCTGCCATGCCTTCCTTGCCTGGCAGCTGCAGTGATATTTCAGCATTGGAGCATGAAAACATGAACGCCGCTGACATGGGGGCAAGAGCACCTCCACCCCATTCCTCCCCTTAGCAAACTCACGTGGCCCCTATAGTCTTGTTGAGGAGGCCATGACACTGCACTCCCCACAGCACACCCAACTTTTGTTGCTGGCTGTTGTCAGCAACTGCGAGACTGAGAGACCCCCCCACGGGATGTGACGCGATAGGCCCTCTCCCTGCTCTATGATTGATGTGTGGCTCGTACCCTTAGGGGCGTAGACGAAGCACATAGGTTATATAAGCTAGAGTTCACGTGTAATAAACGCCATTTTGCTGTTCATCATATTGGTGTGTGCGTGCAGTCATTTGGTCCTGGCCTGGTTTTAGGTCAGTACCGTAGGAGGCAATGAGGAAGCACTGTCCTGCCAACCTCAGGGTGAAAACAAAACCTCCTCAGTTTGGAGCACACTGGTCCAGAAATCACTGCACAAGGGCACCACAGGGCACTCTAAAAAGTGCGTGTTGATATAAAGACAATCAGCAGCCACTGCTGCCTCCTCGTCACCGAGAAATGTGTCACTTCAGATCTCAGAGCAAAGGAGGCTGAAGTGCAGAAGGACTCACAGAGGGCCAAGGAGCTGTGAGGGTCCTGGCCAGATCATCTGCTGCCAGGGAGGATGTGCTGTGCTGCTTCATACATTCATGCTATGTACAGCCGAAGGTGCTGCCCTGGTGCAGAAAGCATAGTTAACACCGGGCTGATTGTCAGAAAAAATAAGAACGAACAGAAAGCCAGAGCATGACAGCTTGTGCCATCTGCCTGGAACACAAACTCAAGTTTTAATAGCACCAGCTATATCATTTTTAACAAACATTTTTGTATTCAAATCTATTTTCTGCTTAAAAGCCCTCAAACAGAAAGAAGGCAGCAGTGTATGCTCACACCTGCTGCCCTCTCATGGCTGTGAAGTTCTGCATCAATGGGGATGGCCATGCACTGCTAGGCAGTACATTTTTCTTATGTGTTAGTACAGAAAAGTCTGCTGAAAAAGCCTCACAAAAATATGGTGAGGTGAGAAGGATCTTTCAAAAGAAGATGCACAACTAATAGGCTGATATAAGGAGAGTGTAAAACAAGAACTGTATTTTGATGCAGTTCTCTTCAGTTCTATTGGACAGATTCTTCTTCCTTCATCAGCTGCATTCCCTATTTGACAGATTACAGAACCAAAGTAAGTGTACTTTCCACCCATAGTTCCTAAAACTCCAAAAAACAACAGATACAGCACGAGCAACTTGCTTAACAGTATTTGGTCTGCAAACTCATTTTACATGCCACATGCTGGGCAGTCCAGTATCTAAATGGAATGTCTTCCTCTGTTTGGGCACCCCTGACTTTTTCCACCTTGCCACTGCATTTGAGTCCGAGTACAAAACCACTTAGGTAAGGGGTGAGAGTAGCTGCAAACATTTTAATAGAGCTGACACAGCATAAAGAGCTTCATGCATAGCAGAAATCAAACACAACCAATCTAGAAACCTCCAAAATCCTTCTACTTGTTTCTGAGCCATGTGCTCTTTTGGCACTTTTCTGCCACAAGAAATGCACCTAAGATGCAGCTTTTGGAAAGAATGGACCAGTAGAAACACTGCATGCTTGTCCTGAATTTGGCATGTACCATGACACCAGTAATTTGGTGTGATCCTACTTGGGATGCCTAGAGCCAGAATATGCACCCACCTACTTCCCATGTTTGTCCAAGACCAATTGCCCACCTCAACCAGCAAAAGACTAAAAGTAATAATGTGTAGCAGCCCTATTTTTGAAGCTCTTTAAAAGACAGAGTAATAGGAGAGGCAGTGCCCTGGTGGGACAGCTCTATTCCCTCTATTCATCATGTTAGGTTAAAGAAATAAAAGCAGTTACAATTCTGCTACAGCATACTCAGGCTGGATCTAAAGGCAAATTAAGTTTCACCATCCACATTAAGAAAGCAATTCAGCTCCTGAACTGGATCAGCTTTGATTTCAATCTCAAGTCTGCTGTTGAGCAGCAGATAGAATTATCAAAACACGCTTTATTTGTTTGTGAACTTGACTTTAGGACCCCAAAAGGAGTAATGTAAGCTTGGTCCAGTTATAATGAAACTGGTTCAAAACACTGGAGCTGGTCCATCAAGATAAATCTACTACTGGTGATTTGATATGGCAGATGTTTGATGAGTAACTCTGACAGAGCAAATGCCTTTTTAACAAGAATTTTTAAATGGCATTATTAAACCACTAAAATGTCGTTATGTTTGAGGGGAAAAAAAGCATAATACGTGAAAAACTATTATTGCAGAGCACATGCAGCACAATTTTTCAAGCACTGGTTTCAAAATTTAAGCCATCTGAATAAAGGTTCTCTCTGAGGAAAGTCACTTTGTAACCAATTCAAGCCTTTAAATAGCTATTGTTTAAAAAAATTGTCAGTTACATCGATTATTTTTCCTTCAGATTCCAAACCCTGCCAAGCCAGGTTGATTAGAATGTTGCATTTAAAAAAATGAGGCAATCTAACTACCCTTCATAAAAAGTGAAAACAGCAACTCAATTTTTAAAGCATCTTGAACAAAAGGCTATAGCCCATCTCTCACTCACATATGGATTCGTGTAATGATTCTTCAATTAGAATTATTATCTACACAGCAGCTGAAGACTGAGAACTGCTGATACACTGCAGATGAGAACATTTGGTAGTCTCTGGGCTCCAGCCTTTCTTAAAAAATGATGATCGCACAATATAGATCGCTCGGTTTATATGTGTATTAAGCTGCAATGCCAGCATTTACATTTGCAACATTACAGTTTTGCTTTCTTAGGCTCAAGAGAATTTGCTGCATCTGGTAGCTTTTATTTGCTTTGTATCTGAGGCAATCGTTACGAATGAAGCGTGAATAGGCAATATTATTGCTCAAATAGTCCTTAGTTTTGTTCATTATCTCAGACACTACAAAAGTAAACGAAGTGCTGGTCTGTGAGATGGGTCATTCAGTGTCAGTTTGCTCACACTGTATTTTCCCAGTGCTATTTTTTACAAGACAAGTCCATCTGCTCCTTCATTTATTTCACCTATGTAGATCCAGACAGCTTAAGACGTACCATCAGAGGGAAAGAAAAGCATCTCACAGAACAACTACAGGCACCTTAGGAGGCACAAGTCACTTCAGTGACACAAACTGCAGGACTGTGAGGGGTTCCTGCCCACCCACACACCCTGCTCTGGTACAAAAGGTTATTCAGAAGCAGGTATCAGCATCTATGTTTTCTGCAGAAACACAACAGGAAACGTGCCTGCTTCACAGGCACAGTTTTTCATACCCTTAGTGCTCACTTTAACACACCTCAGTTTCAGCAGTTGTTCCAACGGTATGAATTGTGGCAGCAGCCAAGCAGACGGATGGCTTTGCTGCCCCTGCTACAGGGCAGTAACTTCTGGCAGAGCAACAAACCAGTAGCAAGAATAGTAACCTCCTACATTTCTGCATGTTAAATTCCTCTGGAAAATTTCACGTGCTTGCTTCTTGTTTCACCACCGATAGCTACATGCTGCGTCCTACAATGAGAGAGACAGGAAGCTTCACAAATAGCAGCTGAGATGCAGCCTTAGTAACTGTGGCATCTGTTCATAGTGTTTTACTAAGGATTCCTGCTACACAACCCCAAGTGTTATCTAAAGCCCAAGCTGCCTTCCTAAAGGTCTCGATAGCACAGTGGATGCTGGAGATGACATGCTGGCTCTGGCAGGTCCCTGAGGCTCATAGAGCCCTTTGGTGTCACGTGCATACATAGAGGACAGGAAAAAGGATGCACAATTAATTCTCTGAGCCAAGGAACTTCTTACTTCATTGTGCAATCTCAGAAAGACCTTTGCAGAAAGCAAATATCTCTAATGCATTTGTTTTACTCCTCGTATGTTGACAAAGCTACGCCCAAGTCATAGCCATCTTTCAGCAGTGCTGCTGTTAGTGGCTGAGACCTGCCACAGACATGAAATCTTCCCGTATCTATTATATAAAGAAAATGAAGACTCAATAGCTGTGTGTTCCAATATTATTTTATTACCTCATTATAGACATCAGTGAATAGAGAGTAAGTGGCTTATATTCTTCCTTGAAAAATACAAAGTTTATCTATTGAATCTCCTGTTTCAAGTATGTCATAAATAACCATTTCTTCTCCATTTATTTAAATTTAAATATAACTATGATGACATTATATTATGCTTCTGTCTCTAAAAACTCAGGATGCATTACAGCTTAACACGCTTAAAGGAACAAAGCAAGGAAATAAAACTGTGAACTGGTAAAAGAAAGCATACCAAAGTAACATAACACTGATATTTAGTTCAAGAGATCATACTTCACAATGGGCACAATTTTCAAAGTATTTCAAACTGCGTGGTTTCAGGTAGCATCACTGAGACCTGTGAAAAGCCCTAGTGACACTAATGTAAAAAAAAAAAAAAAAAGTAACCAGAAATCTCATCTTAAAATGTTTTTCAATTAGAAAAATACAATGTTTAAAACCCAGCATCAGAATGAAACACTTTAATTCTTTCCCTGAATACTTGTTCAGAGAGATGTGTTGAAACTGTTTGATTTCAAATGGGAAACATTTTGAAGGCAGGAGAAACACTATCTGAGAAAGCAGTTCAATCTAGAGTAGAAGAGAGCGAATTATTTGCAGCAGAAAATTTATTACAGGAACATAAAAGGTAGAGGTCTTTTCCTTTCAGAAAAGGCAATTGCTGCTTTCTTGTTTTCAGTTTCAGGATACTGCTTATCAAATCCTTATTGTAGCTACTACCACGTACCACCCTAAGCTCTCATAACAATAACTCTAATATGTGTAATCTGCAATAACCAATTAAATCACTAACCTACGCTCATTCAAGCACAAGACAACAATATCCCAAAACAGGAAGAAAGGCATCACTAAGGCCCTGTGGTTTTCACTGGCTGCTCCAATACGCTGAGTGCAGGGTGAGCTGCACAGCTCTGTCTCCCAAGGCTGAATGAGAGCTTTACTGACTAGAAAAACTGGTATAGCATCATCTCAGATCAAAACAAAACAATATTTACATCTAGTTATGGCCACAAGGACTCAGTGGTCAAGCTGCATTACCTTTCTCTTAAGACATGATGGTACAACAAGTACCAACTGACTCCTGAGAGCCCTCACTTCCACAACCTTTAATGGGCCTGAAGTGTAACTGCAGCAATAACAATGTAGGAGGAGCAGCAGTTCAATTCAGGCTAAAGATACAATGAACTTCACTAAGTCAGGCCACCTCGATGGCAACCAGCATACAATAGTTCCACATATTAACATCACCTCTTGTATAAATTCATTTGAGCACAGCAGAGGGACAATTCTTTCAAAAGCACTATCTATACTGATAAGGCAATTTGCAGAGGGCTCTGAGGAAATGTGTCTCAGATCCCACAAAACAAAGTAACGAGAATGTTTCCTGACATTAAGAACTCATTACTGCGGTGTCCCAAGGATTACTGCATTACAAACAAAGCAAGATGTATTCAAATGCTAAGCTCACTTTGAACAGTAAATGACATAAAAATCTACATACAGTGTGTTAATTACATTCAAGAATAATCAACAAAAATTTCTGTAACCTACAGCACTGTCATTCCAGTGATATGGAACCTTTGTTTCAGGAACAGACTCTGAATCTACTGTTCCATTAATGAATTCAAATCAGTAACTGCACACACAGACAACAGTGCCAATGGCAGGAGAAGGTGCAGAAGCGGATGTCTACAACTCTTAAGAACACTGGGCTAAAAATGCCAAAACATCCTCTGGTCTCACTGGATCTTGAAACTGCTGCAGTCATCCCACAAAGCATTCCACCTTTTGAGCAGATCTCTGACCTGACTGCTCTATTCACGAGCAACTACCAAAGAAGAGATGAAATGTATACAGAGGGCAACTCTCACTCCACTGCCTCACATTTTCAATCACTGCACTCCCTCAAAATTCCTTCGGGTTGCTGAACTATGCAAATGTTTCCAAGAGTGAGTACTGACAGGATATTAGGTACTCTAAGTTCTTTGCCACTGAAGGCTGCTTTGTTCTAGGCAGCTCATGAGAGGTAAGAGTGCCTAAAAAGACCATTATTCCAACTCCACAATTTCTTCATCCAGTTTCAACATTGTACTTACTAAGGGTTATCCCAACACTTCTATATAAATCTTCAGAAATAAAAGAAAAATAGAAAGTAAGCTGAGTAAAAGCAAGACATTTTGAGAGCAGTAAAACATTTCTTGTTGGTTGTATAGCTAGACAAAAGAAATTCAATCACTGCTACAGAAGATCTAGTTAATCAAAATGTGCTTAAATATTCTGTGACCTGATGAACACCAGCCCCAACAGTCACCCACAGACTGACAGGTCAGCTGAAGGCTTTTATGAATGCAGAGCTTTACTTTGGCATATTAAGTACATTTACATGGTGCAAAATGCTTACTTTCCCGTAAGAGAGAATAGGAGAAAATCACCTTTCCTTTAAACCTAAATTTCACCCCAAAATTTTTCGGTGTTCTTTTCAGATCAGGACCAAATTCTCTGCACTTCAGATTCACAGTGCTAGTCCAGTACAAACCTGCATACTTCAAACAAAAGTGCATCTTCCTTTGTTACTATGTCTGTACTTTCTGGTCTTCAAGTTGGTCTGTGCCTGTGTTAGCTGTACATGTTTCATTCACACTTTCTTTCCCTTTCCTAGAAGCCTTCAAACACTTGTCCAGTCTTTTTAGGAAGATGTCTACATCTTGCTTTTTAATTCCAATAGCTGATGCAGCATTGAGGTAAGCACAGGAGTAGTCATTTGTATGTGACATAAAGCCTTTGAAAGTGTAGTTATTCACTGTTTGCACAGACCCACGAGGAACAACCCTGAAATAAACAGAATTGTGATTGAGTTACAAGACGCCTTAAATATTTTTGTGATACACTACAATTAACATATTTGCACAGATTTCTATGCAGTGTAATATCTGCTAAACAAATTCCTGTAGTTGGGCTTGGAATGGGTATTCTCCAAGTTAGTGCTTAAGGATTGCAGTGACTGACAGTGGTTAGCAGATCCTCAATTAGATAAAGTCTGTGGGCACAGGTGAATATTCATTCCCCTCCTCAGCCAAATTTTCATCTTTTCTGCTGGCATTTATGAGCTCCTCAGCATGACGTGAAAGACATCTGCAGCCAACTTTTCTATTCCATAACAAGACCTAACTATCAGACATGCTGTCTCTCCTCAGACAGCCTCTGCAGTCAGCATGCTTGGAGCAGGCTTAGGGCACACATCTGCTCAGCATTGTGTTCTGCAGCCCAAAGCTTCTGGGTTCAAGTGCTTCACAGGGCTCAGACTTCCAAGTAGCTGGAACTACATGTGCACCACTGTCTACCATCCTTTCATGACATTACATACCTTCCCAAACCAGGTCCCTAATCCTTACCGCCTTCTGCCTCCTCTTTCAGTCTACTCCCTCAAATCAGGATCCCAATTTCCTCACACGTATACCTTGGTACTACAGCTCCCCTTTCCCTCATCCGATGACGGTAATCTTTATTCCCTTCTCAAAAGGATGCTGTTCAGCACTGCTTTTACCTCTTCCTCATAGGAAGAACCACTACCTATAACACCCTATTTCTCAGGGCTTTTGGTACACATTCATTCCCTGATAAACCACAACCTTAATCTACCTCTTTCCTTCGTCAAGGAACAACTCACCTTATGGCTACAGTTACAGCTTACACAAGCAATTAACACCAATCAACTGATAGGAATTTGTTATCCCTGCAGAGACAGCCCCTACAGTTCATGTAAGAAACTGTATTCAGACAAATACCACTCCGATTGCCACATCCTTTCCATGCTCAAGTGCTCAAATGCCAGGTTATGGCAAAGCCCGTGTATGAGCAATGCAGGGAGCTGCTATTGCCACCACTGCCACGTAATTCAAGACTAATGTTTAAAATCTGTTGAAATGCCATGTCAAACAGTATATGTACTGCAAAAGAATTGCTTGCATATAAAAGGAAAAGTCTGAAACCTTTGAATCAGACAAAGAGTTGGAGAGCCTTAACTTTTCAAATATGGAATCTCAGCCAGCAATGACTTAGACTGCAGGACATGTCAAGGCTGGGAAAGGTGAATTAAAAAGAGCATCTAACTACAGAACATACAGATTTACTGCCATTTCTCTGTGCAGAAAGTGGAATAATCCAACCTAATGAAGCATACCTTCCGATGTGGAAACAATCAGCACTGATACAGAAAATCACATTCAGTCCACAGCAGAAGCTGGCATGGAAGCAGTAATATTCATATTAAGGAATTCTCCCAAAACAAATTTTAAATCATTCTCTTCTTCTAAAAGGTTTAAGCCAAAATCATTACAAATGATTTATGTTTCCATGTACCAGTACTGCTAAGAATAAATTCAGCTCAGACTGGCTCAAGTTGTAGAATTTTTCTTTTAAATATAGCTAGTTCCAGAAAGTAGGATTTTCTTCCATATGACAGAAAGCTAAGCAGAGTATTAAAAGCTTATTCCCCTGACATCCAGCGCAACCATATTTGTGCTGCAATAAACAAAACAAAGATCTTTCCTAAGCAGCTTACAACCAAACTGTAAGATCAGACAACAGCTGGAAACTAAATGAAACCAAGGGGTTCTAGGAAATAATGACACTAAATTAAAGGGGGATAGATTATCCATTTAGTACACCAAAGCTAAAAGAGAAGGCCTTGCTGCTAACTCGGGCAGGTAGACACATTATTAGTACATAATACTGAGGAAGAAAGGTATAATGCTTTTGGACTTGTAATTGCCAGACTGAAGTCTGTAATCATGAGACAACTGGTAGAAAGTAAATATTCTTTTACATATTTTATGAAATCTCAATACAACTCCCCAGAATTTTCAAATTCACAGCATTCTCACCTCGCTCCTGAAACTTGTCTTGTAAAAAGCATAGATCCAAGCTGGGTAACAGCAGCATCATTATTTTCATCTAGATTCTTCAGTGACATGGCTGAAGTAACAGAAGGTCAGATTAAAACCACTATGAAGCTTCTTTTTTAAACAAACAAACAAAAAAGCACCACAGTGGATAAGGTGTCTTCCAACAATAAAAACCTGTCCAAGGATTTGTGCTCAGGTACAAAAGAAGAATAAGCATAAATATTACATTTTAGCATTTCCAGTTTTCCACAAACTGGTGTGGATTACTTCTTTGGTTGGGCTGCACGTAAGGCAGAGATCCTGCACAAGGGTGTAACATTACTTTGGTGTTCAGCAGAAGTTTTGGTTAGAACAAATATCCCGAGTAGTACAACAATATAAGATGATGTGTACAGCAATTATATCCTAATTTATTTTAAAACCTATTTATTTATAAAGTAACATGCTGACATCTTCTGCCTGCCTTGCCTACAATAATTGATTATGTTGCACAGGAGCAATTTTGTAAAAGGGGCCTGAGTCACAACCCTACTGCTCTGCTTTTATATTAGGTTACCTTATTGGGTTCAATGGTTTCATCTTGGCTTTATAATAATTTAATGGAGTGCAGTGTGCAATGCCTAATGTATAGCAAATGTACATGTTAAGTGCATTATGAATGCACACCATATTAGAATTTCTTTTTAAAGATTTAAAACCCCACAATTACCTAAGGATATGGGATTATGCGGTGTATCCAGCAGTCTCTCATTGTGGATATCTGCCAACTTCTTCAACTCACTTGAAAGATAGGAAAACATTTCCTGGAAGAAAAAAAAGAACAATATTTTTGTTATTGGCTATCAAACACAGAAAATACCACTACTGCACAAAACTTTTAAGTCTCTATTACAACCTTTATAAGTGCATCGAATAAGTTGGACAGATACTTCTCTGAAATCCATCTACAAAGGAACAGCTCCATTTCCTTAACCTTGTTCTTCCTCTCAGGATGGCAGAATGCTCTCTATCTGATCTAATATACATACTTGGGAGGTCAGCCATTCTCTCTGCGAAACTGAAACCCAGAGGAGCAAAATCTTGAAGAGATTAGCACTCTACAGCAGGTCCTTCCCCATATTAGTATCCTGTTGGAGGAGTTGACCTTTACCCACTCCTGCAAGAGCTTCCCCTCACTCCAGTCCCATGAGCCACAGAATGAACCAACACAAATGACCAACTGCTTCCTGTATTATTTTCTATTGATACGTTTCAGACTAAAACAATCACTTTTTGTTAACACTTGTACAATCACAGCTACCATTAGTTCATAGACCTCTCTTTCTGTACAAGAAAGGCAGTATGCTTTTTTTTTTAAAGAGAAAGATATGAGTACACGTGATTGTATTTTCTACATACATTCCACTGCCAGTCCTCCTCCTATCACCCACCTCTCCTGTACAAGCCTCCTAAAACAACAGAGGTACCTGAATTTCTGATGCCACTTAGATTCCACTCTGATTCTCTGATTGAGAAAGCGTTGTGAAACTAGAGTTCATAAACATTCTGGTTAAGATGCCACTCTCACACATTAAAGCCTACTTCTCTTCCTTCACCTCTGCTTCATTTCTGTGATAATCTATGATAGCTGCTCACAGTCCTCCTCAGTTCATTATCTTCCTCATCACATATCAGCTCAAAATGCAATACAGTAAGAATAAACACCATTCTCCTTATTGTGCTCTTTGGCTGCTTTTTTGTCCTTTTTAATGCTCAGTTTCTCATAAATACCAGCAAAAAGATGCAGATACTGGGTATTCTTTTTAAAAAATACTGAACGCCATCTTTTTCCTCTTTCTGATTGTGCTGCTCATCTACTTCAATGTGACTGCCCGTTTCAGCATCCTCATCAATTTCTGGACCTGACAAGTGATTTTTCATTCCTTAAATAGAGTTGTCTCTCCTGTTTGCAGACCAGTATCCTGCTCCGACCCGCACACTCTGACAAATACAAATTATAGCTTGTGATCAAAATTACGCTCTTAAACAGAGCCTCCCACAGGTCTTATGAAACCAAATGAGTTTTGTAGCAGCTAAGTTAGAAGAATGTTACAGCTGTTTAAGCCACTGCAGTGAGCCCAGCCTCACTTCACGAGCAAACAAATGACCGCCGCTCCTGACCTGTGCTTCCTAATACCATGGGATGAATTCTGCCAGAGAGAAAAAGTAGGATTCTGCTCTATGAACAAATTCGGTTATGGATTCATTATCAACAAGAGCATACAGCTGCTGTAACACTTGGAACAACAACAACAACATGGGAGGCATCTGTGATTCTTTATCAGAACTCAAAATGTGTGAAGAATCATTTATATTTTGCAGAGGCATTCTGAAATGAGATGATTTAGTGGTTTCAATCCATCAGTTTATTTACAGTTCACTTGCAGAAGTTGAAAAACACTTACTCAAATATTCAAACACATCTCCTTTCCCCCTAGTCCATCACCAAATATAAACACATTACTCATGTGTTATTTGCTTTCCACAATGAGCATCGTTAATATGTTTAGCCATTAGATCAGTACTTTTTGTAATCCAATTCATAAATTAATCTGGGCTCCCTCTGCTGGCTATTTACTTTACAGCTGAACTATACATCAACTCTGCCTACTGTGGAGGTATTATCTATGAAACTAGTTCTGAGAAAAACTTCTCTTGGAGCAGGAAGAAATTCCCAAGTAATTCATTTCCGTACATCATGTCTAAGGAACTCTCTCTTGCATCTCTTATAGTACATATTTATTACCTAAGGACTCCAAGGTGTTACAACCAGTGACCCACTGTACAAACATATTAAATAAAATTACACCTAGGTTACTAGATCAGCCTTCACAAATGCAGCAATTTGGCAGAACAGGAGAGAATAGAAAGATGGGGAAAAAAAAAGAATCCAAGTGCACATTTTATGTGTTTGACTGCACACATTCAAAAACTTATTTTTATGAGCTACTGCATTTTGCATTTTCCCACTGGAAGCCCTCGTGTTATTTTATAGATTGTTATAAAATAGATTAATGGCCTTTCCAAAAAAAAAAAAAGAAATATGAAATACAAAATATTCTTGTGAGGTCAAATCTATAACCAACCCCTATTACAAAACATTTCTGTGACGTGGACAATTTATGAGCACCCTAAGCAATTATATACAAATAAGAGTTTACAGAACTGCATTTCTGTGACAGCCAATGAAGCTTTCTCGTTTGGAGCTAACTGTTATGCTGAAGTTGCATTGAACAACCCAAGCACTACATGTCAATTATGTTTCATTGCTTAATTCTCCCTTTCCCCTTAAAAACTTACCAAGCCACAAAACTTCACAGCCCTTTTGTGCTCCATACACACTGACAACTCTCATATGCTGTACCTGAGTCTGATTTGGTCTCATCTTAAGACACTTCGCTGCTGCTGCAGTAGCTGCTCACGACAGAACTGTCACAGCTCCTCTTCTGCTTTATGTATGAGACAGAGTAGCTGCATCTGATGTGCAACCTGATCAGACACTGGGCACACCATTTCATGCACACAAAAAAAGGCTGCAATGCTGAGCATGAAGCCCTGTTACCAGAAGGCTTACTTCCTGAAATGCAGCCAAAAAACAGCAGAGAAAATGCATGTGTACATCTGGAGTACTTACAAATCCCACATAGCCTCATATATAGACACTCTTGAATTGCAATACCAAGAATTTTGTTCTGAATTCGTAATACAGTGTAAACTTTTAAAAATGTACAAAGTTTGAAACCTTTGTAACAACAATAACGGACAACTATTAACAGCATGAAATTCAGCAAAGGAAAATGCTGGGTTCTGTACCTGGGAGTAACACTGGTCACAAATACAGACTGGGAAATGAGTGGACAGAGGGTAGCTCTGCAAAAAGGGACCTTGGGGTGCTGGGCAAAAAGCATTTGAGGGTGCATTAAGCACAGACAGAAATATAAAACCAGTATTTTAACAAACTGTAAAATTTAAACAATTTCCTCCCACTAGTTGTGGTTTTAAATATTTTAGACTCAGATTCACACTTTTTAGGAATGTAAGAATGACTCCAGTCAATCACTCTCAAAAGGATACAGACAGCTGAATACAGATATAAAGAGCTCCATCACATCTCATTTCAGAAGATCAGAATTATTTTGACCATTAGTTTGTTAAGAAAAGACTGCTGACAGATGTAATTGCTGAAAACAAAATGAAGCTACTACCTTTCCACTACTACCAGTATACCAACTAGTTAAGCTGAGTTAACAGGACAGTTACCTACACATTGGAAAACAGTTAACAAGTGTTAAACCTGTCACAGAATGTAGGCTCCCCGCTTTCCATCAATTCTGATGTGATCATTAACTGAAGTCTGCTGCTTATGGTACTATGCAGTGCAGTCACTGTAATTGCTACATAAGTCCTGGATAAAGAAACACATAATGCAAATAGAGTGTTTTAAGACCTAGCAATACAGAATATGGGACACAACATAAACGGTACTGAGAAAATCAAAGGAGTCAATTCAAAAGCTTAACTTTTACATGAGTTCTTCAAAAGCAACAGTATTAACAAATTTGAGTATGGACCTGTTGCCATCATCCACGTTACAAGACCTAGAACCCCTTTCTGAAGTCAGAAAGCCACTTTTAAAAACGTGACATATGCATAAAAAAATAATACTGAGAACCTAGCACAAGTGAGATAAACTACTTCCAATCCTTTCCTCATTATGCTATCGCACATAGTCACAGTTATCAGACAGTATGTGTGCATTACTCTCTTGCTTTTCAGTCCTCAGACTCACCGCACCCTTTTTACCCTCTGTATAATCAATGAATATAAAGATGATATAATTATGAAATAAACAAGAGAGTTTGGCAAATCAGATTATAATAACACAAAGAGAATAGACAGAATGCTTACCCATGTCCTGGGCTCACTGAAAAACTCCAGAGGAAGGATCTCCAGAAGAGATCCTTCCCCACTGGCAGTCAGCTCTTAAATGGGTCTAGGAGAGGTGCAGTCAGGCTCCACCTCTTCTGGCAGCACAGGTGAATTGCCTTCAGCTGTGCTCCCAGGGCTGACTTACTGCTCGTCTCAGGTGATCAATCAGAGGTTCAGGCCATGATCCAGCAGTTCCCATATGCCCTCTTATAGCAAAGCATACAACCTCATACTCCACGAATGCCATCCTCTCAGAAAACATCATTCCATGTACATGTTCCTCTCTCTCCTACAATCTCCTTCCTATATTAAAAAGTATCCCCGTGCAGGAGAAAAATGGGACAGATGCAGCAGGGGACACAAAGAGAAACTGCCACCGTGCCAGTTCAAACAGTCAACTCAGAAGAAGGCTTTAATCTGCTCACAAGGAGCTGAATCAGCAATGGAATTCACCCAGTAGAAAGCTGTGTCCTCTGCATCCCCTACAGCCTTTGCACCCATTGGAACTGGCTCAGCTTCCCCGACAGAGCTGCCCAAACATCAGGCAGCTACCCAGGCCTGAGGCAGCAGGGCATGTCCAAGCTTTCTGTCAGGGCCTGGGACACCTGTGGAAGGTGCCCAAAGAGAAGAACTGCTCAGCACTGGCACAGAGCATTGGGAGGTGGGCAGGCTGAGGCGGCTCCTCCCACCTTGAGTTGAGGGACTGTGCCACAGAATCATAGAATGATGAAGTAGGTTGGAAAGGACCTTGGTCTAGTCCAACCCCTTGCCATAGACAGGGACACCATCCTGGCTGACTCTGAACTCATACAAGATTTGCTGCTCCAATCAGGTGCACAAAAGACTATGGGGCAGAGTGGGGTTCATCCCAGGGTACTGAAAAAAACTTGCAGATATTATCCCGATTATTTTTCAGCGACTTTGGGAATCAGAGGAAACTGGATGCTGGCAAATATTGTTCCAATTTTCAAGAAGGGCAAGAAAGACGACCCTGGTAATTACAGGCCTGTCAGTCTCACTTCGGTGCCTGGTAAAATTATGGAGAAGATCATAATGGGAGTTGCTGAAACGCACGCGAATGACTGCAGCCATTGGTCACAGCCAACACAAGTTCAAAAGAGGAAGGTCCTGTTTAACAAACTTAATTTCCTTTCATGACAAGGTTATCCATCCAGTTGACCAAGAAAAGCCATCTCGTGTGATCTTTTTGGATTTCAGCAGAAATTTCTATACTGTCTTTCACAGCATTCTTCTGGACAAAATGTACAGCATGCAGCTAGACAAGTACATGGCATGATGAGTGAACAACAGACTAATGGGTTGAACTCAAAGGTTTAGAGTAGATGGGGTTACCGAAAGCTGGAGACCAATTACTAGTGGGGTACCTCAGAGCTCCATCTATGGGCCAGTTCAATGTTTTTTATAAATGATCTGCGTCCAAGACTGTAATGCACACTAAGTTTACAGACAGTACTAAATTAGGAGGAGCAGTTGATGTCCCCAAGGGCAGAAAGGTCTTCTGAGAGATCTTGACTGACTAGTGGGTTGGGCAATCAGCACTAGTCAACAGCAAGTGCTCAATTCTGCAGCTGGATTGGGGTAATTCTGGATACACGTACTGTCAGGGAAATAAGAGGCAGCCGTGCACATCTGGAAGTTCTGGTTGACAGCAAATTGAGTATGAGTCAATAGTATATCATGGGGTGCTTCAGTCCCAGCACTGACAACTGAGAAAGGGAAGGGATTGTCCCACTCTGCTCTGCACTGGTGCAGCTTCAACGTCAAGCACCGAGTGCATGTTAGCACACTGTAATATAACAAAGATGTACAAGTATCAAAGAGGGTCCAAAGGAGGGAAACAAAGATGGTGAAGTGTCTAGAGGGCCCTATCAAGAGCAGATGAGATAATGTAGTTTGTTCAGCCTAAAGGAAGCTGACAGGAGGCCTTGTGACATCTCCTCATGATGAGAGTGGAGGGACAGTGCTAATCTACTCTCTGGTGACAGTGACAGGATCTGAGGGAACAATATACAGCTCTGTCAGGGGAGGGCCAAGTTGGATATTAGGAAAAGGTTACTCATCGGAGGGTGGTGGGCATGGAACAGACTCTTGGTAGCAGTGGTGACAGCAGCTGGAATTCAAGGAATGTTTGGACAATGCTCTCAGACGAAGGGCTTGAATCTGAGGTGGTCCTGCACAGAGCCAGGAGTTGGACCTGATAATCCTTGTGGGTCCCTTCTAACTCAGGGTATTCTATGACTAGTTCTTTCCCTTGGTTGTGTGAGATTAACCTCTTCTCAGTGATATTCTGGTTTTTCTGGCCTGAACTCAAGTAACCTGAAATAACACTAGTGAATAAGTGTAAAAAGAGAAAGAAATACTGGAAGTTTTTTATAGCTGACTTTGTGTGAGTAGGTACAACTGAACCAATATAGAAAGGAGTACTCAGTGTCAACCTATAAATAGCTCCTGCTGAGAGCCTAATAGCTCTGCCTCTGCCTTCACAGAGCACAGGCAATAAACCATCATTATTACATTTTTACAATTCAGGAACAAACACATTTAAGCAAAAAAAGGTTTCTATTTCTACAGCAAATCCAATAAAAGAAAAATATTTATGCCATATATAAGGCTATGTTTATAGAGTATACTCATGTTGAAGTAAAACAGACCTGAAATTGTAAAAATGTAATGCTTTATTCACTTTAGAATTCTACTTCCAAGAAAATGATATGATTTAAAATAATATACAGCTATTCATTAAGACAGTTTACTTACAAGTAACTTATTATTCATAACGTGGCAATAATTATACTGCTCATTACATATCTGATGCAAGTGTAAGTCTAACATCAAAATCAGTTTTGCAAAAAACATGATAAAGTCACTTGAAGTTTTTCTGGAGATGAGAAGAAGAGGGGAAAAATATATAAATTTGCTTTAAATGAAGATACAAACCCACATATGGTGATAATACACTGGTTCAGAACGAAACATTAGAAACTACATTCCACTACTGGTAGAAGAGTGACTGCTTTCAGCCTTTCACAAACCATGTTTTCACATAGCTTGCACAGATCACACCATAGCCTTTGAAAGTCAACCCTGCTGTTCTCATATTGTAGCCACTCCTATGGGGTCTCAATTCCAGTACAGAATTTCCGCATGCCAGTACAAGGAACTAGAAACAAGTCATGGCACACAGCACTATCATCCTGCTCAGGTATCAGAAGCAGCAGCAAGCTGCCAGCAGGAGACAAATGAAACGTATTTCCTAAATAAATTAAGGTATGTAACAAATCACTCATGATTTAAAACTATTAATTTACAGTACTTAATGCACAACATTTCCTTACCTAAAACATTCTATAAAAAGAATTCTCTGTATTAAAGCTTACAGATAGCAAAAACAAGCCTTTTAGTACGTCCAGAACTGAAGATGACTCAAGATGTACAAGTTCCAATTTTAGAACACTTAATATTTTGAAAACTCGGTTATATCCAACACAGAACATGCATGGGAGAGGCAGAGGAGAAACCTAGCTCTGTATCTAGATGGATGCCTTAAATGACAATCTTTTAATCTTTTTGTGGCCCAGAACACTGAATCAGAAACTGTGATCTTCTTGAGAATACGGTACATAGCATTTAACACTACCATAGCACAATAGCATAATATGGCCAAATGAAGATGAGCAAAGACCCCTGGGATGAGCACTGCGATCATTACACAGCACAGCACTTCTCAGATTGTACTGGACAAAATTCTATTGCATCAGTCGTACTCTTGAACAATAAATATGAATACTGTATGAGATAGTTAAGCTGATGTAAAATCTCTCATTTGAAATATAAGAAGGAAATGAAACTCATGCATGAACATTATTTGCTCAAGCAGTAACTGTATCATATTGCCTTTCCAGATTAAGAGCTGTAAACTCCAAAGAAATTTAACGGTTTTCAAGACAGAAACAGGATTTACTACATGAAGCAGTTTTGCAACAACACTTTAAGAGCTGAATTCAAGAAAACGCTGCTTCCCAAAAACTTTACCTTTCTCTCTTTCAGTAACCGTTTGTAGCCACTGGCACCTAGAGACAGAAGTGTAATGAGGACATCTAAAGAAGGAGATGCAGAAGCTCTTCCTGAAAAAGCAAAGCAAAACAAAACAAAAGGTACACGTTAAGTTTCTGAAACAACAAAAACAAACAAAAATTATACGAAAGAAAGTTGATAATCAAATTTTCTACGCTTATTTTGCATGGATGAAATCAATTTGTGAGCTACTTACCTGGATACATTTTGCTGATCTCCTGAATGAAGGACTCATTGAAGCCAGCAATGATAGCACCACCTACTGGAACCATAAAATTTTTGTCCAGGCTCTGAACAAAAGCATCTATTCTGCCTACTCGAGCACCCTTTATCAAAAGGAAAAAAAAATCCACAGCAAGTATTAGGAAAAAACATGGGAAAGCATAATAATTACCCATAATCCAGCAATAAAACGAATATAATTCCTAAAACTCCCTCAGATATTTTATTTGTGATGAAGAATTTTAAATCACAGCATTACCTTTGCTCAGCATTGCTTACAATTTTTTTGCTGTCTGCTAACACACCATCTTCAGCAACCTTCATTTGCTATGATTTAAAATATTGGTTTTAGTTCCTGCATGTCTTCAAAAGTCCAGCTCATTTGCAGCAACTATCAAAAAAATTCTCTTGGAATTGAATGGGAATTACACAGTTAACACTGTAGAATTCAAAACGTGCCACAGATTCTGGCAGTAAAAGGCTACAGGTTAATGCCTCACCAGAAAACAAAACTACCTTTTTTGACATATACATGTAATCTGCATCAAAACAAATGGACTGTGACAGCGTTCCTTCATATAATGCTGCCTGCAAAATTAAGATCCAGGTAACTTCCTCAAAGACTTTCCCTCTTCCTGGAAAACAAAATGCCCCTAACATTTAGGCAATTAGGAAAAAAAAAGCACAGTGATTCTGCAGTGCAACTTCAGTTTTAGGAATACAGTATCAATGAACTGTGCAATTAAGAAGCATGCATCATAACAGAAGCTGGAAAGTCTATTAACAATCATACATACTAAAGAGTATTCAACTACATACATAAGTACTTCGTATTAAAATCAAGGAACAGAAGCAGAGCTAACGTCTGTGACAAAGAGTGAAAAAGGCAGATAAAACTAAAAGTCATTTCTGTGTTTTACTATGACAGTGCATGGGGGACAGGTATACATTTGATTTCATTAGTAACTACTTCCACACGGACTGTACATTTTCTATCAGAGGAAATAAATTCTTGTAAATAAATGACAGCTCAAATGTATACGTTCCCAGAACCCAAAAAGAGAAAACAAACCATCTACCAAGAAGCTAAGGAAAAACACAGAAACAGAAATATGAACAGTTCTATTTGTGGCTTTGCAGCCTGAGAAAATCATCAGATATGACATAATATGCAGCAAAACTCAGCAATCCCACAGCCTCCTTCATGTTAGAAGTTCACTACAATTAAGCAAGTTAAATGCAGTGCCCACGTATCATCACAAATCAAACAGATACAGTGTTCTATTTCACACGCCATTGCAACTTCTGTCACATTCCTTCAGTCTCTCAAGATAAATTTAGAAATGCTAACAAGATCCAGCTGCTCTTTGCTCATTTAATAACAGTGTCTTCTTAATCAGAAAAAAATTATCGGCATATACATAATAGTTCAGGATTCCCTGGATCCTGTTAAAATACATAGGCAACAGGGAGAACAGAGAAATATCAAAGAAACATTGCATGAACTTGCAATGAGCAAAAATGCAGGCATTGTATGCTTTGTGGCTGATCTTAGGTATTAAACAATTTGCTCTGCAAAAACAGCAAGAAGAAATTGAACCTGTTTTGAATACAACATTGAATTCAACAGTTTTTTCAGGTGTTCTCTGTGCCAGCAATACTGACAAGTGACAACGCTTACACAGTGCTGCTGTACCACCTTGTGCCTTCAGGATTGTGCCAATCAAACATGTGATTTGGAGAATTTAGAAATGGAAGAAAATTTGAAAATCAGTAACTCGTTCTGCTGAAGCCTTAATTCCCATTCAAGTACAACCAATTATTTCATGATTGTAGGTCATTATGTCAATAATTTTATGAGGTATTTTAAGAAAGATTAATAAGGGTATCTCTCCATTATAAAAGACAGCTGAACATAAACGAAGCCTAAACAAACTTGATTACACAAAAAGCCAACAATAGAAACAACAAACATTCTAAGGGTTATTTCCTTCTGCTCCGCATTCTCAGAAAGTAGTCCAATTATAGGATATGTGTGGGATTAATTTCCAAGCTGTGACACATGGTAAAACTTGCTAGCATTGTCTATGATTAGAGGTTTTCTCATGCTTGTTAAGAATATATATATATATATATATATATTTGAAATGCACAGTTCCTACCTGCTGGATAAGATGCATACATTTTGAAGATTGAACTCCATATGCATTGTTGACAATATGGGGAATGTCATAATTAGCACAAATTTTAGCCAATTCCTCCAGCCTATGAGCATAAAATTGTAATTTAGAGAAATACTAATCACTGTAATCCATGTTATCAATCAGACCATTAAAAGACTGAAAGGTCTACAAGAAGGTCAGAAAGAGGAAATAAACTTTCTTGTTTACTGCCTCGTGTCAGCAGTAATCACCTTTAGCAACAAAGGCTAAGAAGGAAGTTCTATTAACTTTTATGTGTATTACAAATGGTTGAACTAGGCAGAGATTTTTCATGCTTTGCTGAAAGTTTTGTCCAGAACCCAGTACCCAGATCTCAAATCATCCTTTCAGATATTTTCCTATTTTAGTGATAATTAACAGAATTGCAGCTATTCATACATTGTCCTTTTCTTTTAGCATTCAACCTGAAAACAGTTTGATGGAAGTTTCAAGATGTGTTTGAGGAACTGAGAACTTCATAAAAGAGGAAGCCTTTACAGGTTTCTATCTTTTTTTCCCCTAAGAACCAGTGCTTCAGCCCTTTGGCCGAAATCTCACTTGCATAGTTCAGCTCAACTGAGCAACAGAAAAACAATTCTTCAAAAGGGCTGGATACCCTTAAAATGATACCCTTGAAAATGACTGGATGTGGAGATCAAAACATTAAAACTTCGTTTAACTGTTTGCTCAGGAAAAAAAAAAAAAAAAAGGAAAATTTTCATCTGCCTTTAGAAATTCCTGGAATTACAGAAAGGCCAATTTGGATTCTTTCTCAGTGAAGCTAAGATTTAATTGAATGCAAAGGTCATTTCCATTGAGAGACTTCAGCTTTTTAAGCACACATGTTGTTAGTAACCTTTCCAAAGCACTCCAATCACGCTCTTATTTTTTTTAATACCTTGATTTCTAACAAACTTGCAAATATCTTTTAAAAAGAAAATCCATTTCAAAAATAAATACTTAATAACTTGAAGTGATTATAAAGATTATTTTTAAAAAGCACCAGAAATATCCAAGTCTTGAATGCATTTTTCCTCTGTCTATTTTTGTGCAGCCTCTCACTGTAATTTACTGACATCCATATAAAATGTGACAAGAGGTGACATTCTTTTGTATTCTATTTCTATTATACTGCCTTGTGTTCTTTTGTAATGCAAAACTCAGCTACAAACCTCAGATTGAATTTTCCAAACCTCAATCCCTAGGAAAACAACATCATCACAGTACTATTCCTAAAGAAATTACAGGCATGTAAAGCACAAGTTTGGCTAGGTAACACTTGTAGTGTAATGCATGCATTCATCTTCAACAGTCAAGATATTCAGCAGGAACTGCATGTCCTGTAATTTTTCTCATTTACCAACATTCTGAACCCTGAGTTAACAGGAAACATTACACCAGGCAACGTTTTTGCCCTTTGATTTGCTGGTCTTGCTCACTCAGACTCATTCCTCACCTTCCAACAAGACTCAAATAAAATAGTTTCCACTCATATGCTGTTTTTTTTCCAAGTGCAGGTAGAGAAATTCCCAATCTAGAAACAGAGGGTTCTCTACTACTCTGTATGGCTGATCATCTTTCTCACCTGCTGAGTCCCAGCGAAGCAATATGCTAGCTGCTACAGATCCAGAAAACAGAAAAAGCACTTTTTCTACAAATATTTCTTTGAATAATTGATCCATGCTACAACAAAGGACAGGAGTGCCACAGTTTGAAAAGAATATGTGATTCTAGATGGAAAGCAAACAATAAAGCACACCGGCTTGTATGCTTCCAAAGCTTAAATTAAACCATTAAGAGCAGCTAGTCATATCAGAAAAATAAAGCATAAAAGCAAGTTGGTTACTACTCAAGTTCCCAAAAGTCACAAATAGCATAAATGGCGAAATATTTCTCTATGTCCTTTCTTTCACTCCTGTCTGTGAAAGTTCATAAAAAACAACAACTTTGGTCTTTCTTCTAATACCAATGAAAGTGACAAAGTGGAGAATTCTATTAAGTCCATTAATTAACCAGAAAGTCACCTCTTGCCTTCGGCTCTCTTTTGAATACAGTGCCTCTAGAGACAGCCTGTAGCAATAGGTAGAAGACAGAAGACTGAAGTCTTTCTAGTAAGGGGATTTATACAGTGGTACATATTATCAATAAAGTCTCATAACGCTTCGAAGGAGCTATAGGTCTTATCCTAATCATTCAACAATCCTAACTCACTTAAAATTTTAAAACTTCACCATCACAACTAAACAAAGCCTTAACAATGTAAATTGTTTAAAAGCAGACACATAAAAATGGTATCCTCCAGAAATGCTTTATTCTCCTTCCTGTAGGAAGATGGATGTTATGGCCTTCAGTAGTTGACAGTATCCTTTAAATAGAAAGTGCATTCAAATTCTCTTATATCTGTGGTATATCATAACACAGTGCCACTACCTAATATTTCATCTCTTAGTTGCAGAGAACAAAACAATTGCATGTCAAAAAAAGGAGGCAGATAAGGAAAAGATTCATTTACCAAAGCTATAAAATAGACCATTCAATTTTGATAGCTTTGATTTAAGGTAGCCAATAAATTTGGAACTCAACTTCAAACAACATTCTGACAGAATTATTTGCTTTTAACTTCCCTCTAGCAACTAGGCTAAATCTATGATAAATACTGTTTTTCAAATATTTTAGAACTAATTTACGTGCAGAAATAATGTCTCAAATATTCTGTTTCTCATCTCCTAATTGCAGTGCTCATCTCTGCTTCAGAAAGTGCTTGAACTGACACATTTGCAGCAACTACAGAAGTTATGTATATGGACACACCATAGGAAGAAAGAATGCAAGGTAGTTTAGGTTTCTTTTAATGGTGATTTAACAGCTGGAAATTGTAAGTTGTAGGCAATCAGGCTATAAATGTAAATGTTCAAACCCAGATACATGACAGTAGAGCAAATCTTATGTTATACTCTCATAGCACTGCCATACATGCTTTCGAGGGTTTCCCCACATCAGTACATCTTTAGTAATGCTACAGACATCACCATAATGCAGGAAAAAGCAACTCAAGCAATGATTTTAAATGTTGGTGATAGGTTATTTTTCTTAGCAGTTGTATTAGCCTAGGAAAATTCATCATTAGCTAGAAGAAAAGAGTAGAAAAGGGAGGATGAATATTAACATCTGGCATTAGCTCTGGAACTATACCTTCTGGACCACATTTCTATGAGATTCTACTCTTACTACTTCCACAAAATCCCATAAGAAACCTCTGTCAAAGTGGCATTAATTTCAGCCAAAGTGACCATTATTAACCTTCATTCATAAGGGAGAAAGAAGACCTTCTCTATCATTCTCATTTTCCTAATACATTTTTTGGAAACATTTGGAGCATTGTTTCACAACATGCCATCACCCTTAAACACAGGGACTGAAGCATCTTCACTAGATGCACTTCACTTACTGGCAGTAACTGAGCATTCAAAACATGTAGGTTTTTTCACTGACAACAAATAACGTACTTCTTATGAAGTCTACTTACCTATCAGGTATCCTTGGAGCAAAGCAAGATGTTGTAGAATGCACACAAAGAATATTTTCAGCACCAAGAGTTTTGATTTTAGCCTCCACTGCTTCAATATCTGTCCGTAGCTCATCGCCTTCTAATACATTCTCTATCACCACAGGCTCAAAACCTAACAAAAACAAGATCCAAATGTACATCAACGAATCTCCAACTAATTGCGGGCTTTTCATTTCAACATAAACCCCAAAAATGTACATTTTTTCTTTTAACAGATAATTTCAGACTTAGTTTAATAATATAGGCACGTTAGCACAGAATTGCCTCTGTTTAGATGTTTTTATCCAATGAATCTTTTATATCAAAAACCAGAATCATAGTATGGCTTGGTTTGGAAGGGAACTCAAAGATCACCTAGTTCCAACAGTCCCACTGCAGGCAGGGTTGTCAGCCACTAAATCAGAGGGCAGTAGATCAGCTTGCCCAGAGCCCCATCCAAACTGGCCTTGAAATGAAATGTTTCCTAGGAACTAGGATGAGAACCTATGCCACCACTTGCTCAGGTATGACCCTTTTTCAGTTCATGCACATATCCCCTACTTGCCATTTCCTTGATTCCATGGGTCTGTCTGCAGGAGGGGACAGCTTTGGAGCAGTGATGGACTTCTATCCTTAGTTTACTTACAGTCTGGTAGACAGGGAATTTCTTTTGAGAAGGAAATAAGGTTTGAACTAAGAAAGGCACCAAACTTATTTCCTGACTGAGCACTGACACACCAAGATTAAAAACAAATGGGGCAGCTAACACTTGCCACGTTCCAAAGTAAAACACCATGGCAGTCAACTTGTCACCTTCTGATCCCAATTTCAAAGACACTTTTTATTTTTTGAATAAATTTTAGAAGGGATTTGAACCACAAACCAAAGATTGGCATCATTCTCAGGAAAGCAAATTAGGCATCTATCTAAAAAATGAACTCTAACTTACTTAGTATTGTGCTCTTTGCTAAGAAACCACAATATTATATACATCTCCCTACTTCAGCATACTCCCACATTCTGTAAGGCAATAGGAAAATACGCCTGATTTCATGTTAGAAATCAGATGTGTAGAAATAAAGCACTTACAACTACTATACATTAGACCTTTTCTGGATATGATTCCAAGTATATAAATTCACTCTGAAAGATAAAGTTTTGTATCTGTTAGAAAAGCACACCATGCAACCAGTCATCCCCCTGTTACCTGCAGTTATCATCGACTTAAAGCAAGATTTCTGGTCTATACGTGGCCAAATAATGTATTTTGCCTTTGGTCTCTTGTGCCGCAATGTTAAAAAACACAGAGTCAGACTCATGCCAGTTGCCATAGGAACCACAAAGCAATTGGTCACCGTCCGGACACCTGCACATGAAAAAGTAAGTCAGAAATTAACATGAAGAACACATGACATTTTGCCAAAAAAGAGAGATTTTCAGATGTACACCTACCAGCCTGCTTTATAATATCCAGAACAACTGAATTAGTAAGCTTGTTCAAAAGGCTAGACCCTGCAGCTTTAGGCTGGACTGCAGAAATATCTCCTGATCTTCCAATTCCATGGATCAACCTGAACAAAAAAGGTTGAAAACACACATCAAGATTTGTCATGCTGCAAAGCAATAATTCTTGCTACTGGAAAGCATTTAATTTGACAAACAACTGTGGAAGATTTTGTATCCAATGCACTCTCATGAACTCCATTGCAACCATCTACGTATATTAGGATGAAATTTTTTTGTTTTGTCTTGAGCAATAGACAAACAATATTCCATAAAGCAAATAAAAAACTTCAAGAAAAAGATCCAATACAGCAACAGCGTGAGCACCTGCCAGGCTTACTTTTAAGTGCACCCCAGCAATGTCTCAATGCCTACTGAATTAGCATTACAAATGCAGGTATGTCCAGACACAGAAACCCAAAGAACAAGTCAGTTGCCTACAGCAGAGCATAGTGTAGAATACTGCTTCAGAACCACCTCCTGCTACCTTTCCCACTCCCAAAGCTACTAGGCAAAACATTTCAGCAATCAGTGCATGGATGAAAGCCTCTAAACTTTTCCTTGTTCTTGCTGACTCTCAGGTGAAGGTGAGATGTCAGGTAACAAAGCTACCTGAGATCAACAGCAGCTGAATGACAGCCCAGGCTCACTCTGGCCAGAAGCTGGGCATGCCCTCTCCAGCAACACCAGCAATTACTTGAGCACTCTCCCCAGCACAACTCTGCCTTCCACACCTCACAAATCTGAGACTAGAGAGCAGAACAGAAAACAGGAAGTCCAAACTGATGCGTTAGTGGTTTTCTTCATTAATTTTTCATGGTACTTGGGGCTTCTGAAAGACATTAAGCCTAAGTAGTTCAGTTTTCATATGGTAAAGCTCACTAAAATTCTCGTCTCTAATAAGCTTTCGTGCTACTATTTCAAGGAGAAATACACCAAGAAATTTCACTCAGTTTCATTCACGATGGATGAAACTGCAAAGCCACTCAGCACAGAACACTGTGCAAAAAAGAAAAAAAAAAGCTTATCTTCATACTGACATTAATGCAGAGCCTCTAGTTATAGCTTCCAAAGTACCTGCTATAGCCCTTCCAAAGCAAGGGCTTTGAGCCATTAATAGTTCCTTTTATCTTCATAATTCAGCTCACTTCATATAAAATAAATTTTATATAGACTGAATTTTTACATGCCTATCAACTTTTCACATTATAAACATAGCAATGAATATAAAAAAAAACAAATAGCCGTTCACTGGGGATGTTCAGTACTTTACATCTACAATTCAGTAGTTTTGATTGATGCACTGATTAAAAAAAACTGTACAGTATTAAAAAAGCAAGTAATGCATGGATTATCTTAAAACACAAAGACTTCTCCTTGCTTGCAGTCAATTTGGCATCTTAGGCTTGTACTAGTTTTACAGGACATACAGCCAGCAAAATATTTTTGTTACATTCAAGACTGCCCAATGAGTTATTAATGAAAACTTAATACAGGAAATTAGATCGCTTCAATATTGCATCATTCTTTTTTTCTTCAAACGCTACCCAGGTCTCAGATAACTAATTCACAATTAGCATAAGCACTTCAAAATCATCAGTAATAAAACCGAATAATTCAAATAGCCAATAAAACTTGTACCTATAGTGCCTTCGGGCAACAAGTCCTGACGCCACTCTGCCTTCCCTCTCTCCCACACCGCAGTTGCCCAGAAAGTTATTGCTGTCCATTATGGCAAGTTCATGAAGGAAGAGTTCAATGGTGCTTTCATCCCATCCATCTTCAGGGCACTTTCCCTTCATATTCGGAATACAGAAAGATAATTCATAAACTTGGAAATTAAGAACAAACACAACTTGTTCAACTGATGCAGCTCTTAGATGCTGAAACCAGAAGTTAAATAATGACTTTGCCATACATTCAATGCAATTACACTGGCGTACCATGATATTGAGTACTTCTCACTCTCAAGAGCTCTGTAAGGCATACACCAAGCCACTGCAGCACATAGGTGTTGTTCACAACATGTAACGCTGTGGATTATGTGATGTATTCTCAACACAGAAGTGTAATACTACAGAAACTCGGCGGGTAAAACCGGGTGCAGAGAACTGGGATATTACAGAATCCAAAACATTATGAATAGCAACAGTTGCAACACATCTTCACACCTGCGTGTTTTCCTTTGCAGTTATTACCCGGTACATCAGGAAGCTGCAGACAGATTGTCAGCAACTGCAACAGATGCACTCCTTCCTGCGCTCTGCTCTAAGAACCACGCTCGCCTCTGCCTACCCCAAAGCGGATCCCCAGCGGAAAGCCGCCCAAAGCGCGCACAGCACCGCTATTGCAACTCAGCGGGGCAGAGGTCGCTCGTGACGACAAAAGGAACCCAACCGCAGCGGGGTACGAAGGGCCGCAGCGAGCAGAGAGGTGGGCGGCGGAAATCCCCGCAGGGCGGCGGGCCGCCTCGGGCCGCGGGGACGGAGGAGTCGCCGCCCCGCTCTGCGAGCCGCCCCCCGCAGGGCCCGTTACCTGCTCCAGCAGCGCCCGCAGGAGCAGCTCGTGCCCGCGGCGGCCCTGCGCCCCCTGGCGCACGTAGGCGGCGGTCACCAGCCGCTCGCTGGAAGCGAAGTTCTCCGCGTTCATGGCCGAGGGGCGGCGAGCGCGCCGCGGGCCGCTCTCCGCAGCGCGGGGCCGTACGGGCGGTTCCGCCGTCCGCTTCCCGCCGCGGCCGTGCGGGGCAGGTGCTGCGCGTGCGCCGCGCGGAGTCCCGCCTGCACGCCCTCGTGGAGGCTGCGCGCGGCCTCTGCCCGCCGCCGCTCAGCCCGGGCTGGGGGAGGGGGGCGGCAGGGCTGCGGTGGGCGGCCGCGTGGCGGTGGTACCGAGCCTGCCTGTAGCTCTACTACAGGGACGGCGAGCTGAGCGTGAGCGGGCGCGTGCAGCACGCGGTGCCTCTGTTCCGCTGCTCTGTCCTAACCGGCCCACGCCTGGTCGGATTTGGTTCTGAGATCTTGTCCGATCTTTCTCTGGCGCGGTTTCAATGCTGAATAACGCGCGAACAGCCACGGTGGCCGACTCGTTCTGTAGGTGTCGCTGGCCTGATGGGATCTGAGGGGTGATTTGGCGGAGCAGTCCTGCACACCAGCTAGATCTGTTGGCAGACGGACTGCAGTTAACCCAGTTTTTCACCGTTTTGAACATAAAGGAGCTTTGCAAATCGCTGCGTCCAGGCATTCTGTCGCTGCCGCTGGGAAAGGCAGAACCGCTCAGCTCGTTACTTCGGCGCATCACGAGAGGGCGCTCAGGGAGAGCTGAAAGCGCGCCCTGCTGCGCGGGTTCGATTCTCTGCTGCGCGTCCCGTGTTTGGGGGGAGTGCGAGCGTGGATGCGAGCGGAGAGGGCACAGTGCGCGCGAGAATGAGAAACTAAGGTGGAAAATGGATCAAAAGGTTGAAAGGTTGAGGGAACTGGGCTTGTTTACTTGGAGAAAGCTCCGGGGAGACCTCACTATGGCCTTCCAAATACTTGAAGAGAGTATAAACAGGAGGGGGAATGGCTGTTTACAAGGGTGGAAGTGATAGGACAAGGGGGAATGGTTTTAAACTGAGGCAGAGGAGGTTTAGGGTGGGTATCAGGAGGAAGTTTTTCACACAGAGGGTGGTGATGCACTAGAACAGGTTGCCCAAGGTTGTGGATGCCCCATCCCTGGAGGCATTCAAGGCCAGGCTGGATGTGGCTCTGGGCAGCCTGGTCTGGTGATTGGCGACACTGCACATAGCAGGGGGTTGGAACTGGATGATCATTGTGGTCCTCTTCACCCCAGGCCATTCTATGAGGGTTCAATAAGTGAGTCTGTAATCAGACTTACTTGCATACTTTAGTAACTTCAGACCAGGTAGCTAATGGAGAGTATTAGCTACTTGGAATTAAAATTAATCATTTGTAGTAACCGTTCTGCGATGTGCATTTTGTTTAATTACAGGCTGAACTGCTTAAAGACTGAAGCAGTGTGAAGGCTTCTCATTATCAAACCAGCAGCAAGCTACAGAGTTCTTACTGCAGAATACCAAAAGTAAGAACTGATGGTGATCACACACACCACAGCTCATGTGAATTGTTCCCTGTGACAGAACAAATAGCTCATGGGTTTCTTGTTTTACTTTTTCAGAAGAATTAATGTTCAAATCCTTGAAAAGCCCAGGGACAAACTGCATAGCAGTGTTTTCAGCTCACTCCCAACTAGTGCAGCTAAAGGGAAAGGCACTCAGTGATCTGCTGGGCAAAACGTGAGCCTTCTCCCCTTGAATTCTGACCCGTGTGCTTGCTTCAGACAGCAGCTAATCGGTGTCATTGTCTGCACTGAAAATTACATCCTCTGTTATAGCTCTTCTGTACAATTGTTTGTTCACTTTTTATTAAAAGAAATGGAAACAGAAAAGCACTGTGAGTGGATTTTATCAGATGTGGCAGATATCAATAGTTACACAAGTAAATGGCATTGCATTCCAAAGTCCACTGCTGAGAGGTAACCTGAGACAAAGCAAACATACTGCTGCAAGGTTTTATTTTGTTAGAAACCAAGCAAAGTCATTTTCTTTCCATGATGCAGGCGACGTACACAACGAATCGTTGTGGTGCAAATAATTATGAGAATAATGGATAATAAAGACATGCAATTACTGTGTGAGCTGAGAACTGACCCTCTCCCAGCACAATCCAGAACTTCAGTTCTGTGCATGTGCTCCATGTCTTTCTCCTGTTTTTCACCAACGCCTCTGAGCTCTGTGCCAGCAAAACCTGTCCCCAGAGAGAGAAATGTGGGAGGATGCATCCTAGTCACGGTGTGATGCGCTGTGTTGGGGTTTGGTTGTTTCCCTTATTTCTGTTAACACAAGGATGGCTGTGAGAACATGGAAGCAGTTGGAGTAGATTCGTACTGTTTTTGTTTGCTGCTTGCTTGCTTTTGGAAATGACAGTGCACTGCATAGAACATTTCATAAAGTGCAAGGTAGGAGGGAACCCGGAACGTGGCCAAGAGACAAACCAGCCTCAGACTTAGAAACTCAGGGCTTTACGGAGATGTTTTGTTGAGTCTCAGCAACGAGAATACTTCGAGGGTGGATGTCTGGCCGCCCGGAGGAGCAGGGAGCAGTCACGCTGCCCTCCACGGCGTGCGTGCGTCCGGACGACGCAGGGCGGGAGCCGCGCTGCGCGGACGGCCGGGACGGCAGCGCGGCGCCCGGAACGCGGCTCCTTTAAGGCAGGTAGCAGCGCAGGGCGGGCCGCCGGCGCATGCGCGGAGCCGTGACGGGCCCGCCGCCGTAGCGCTGGCACCGAGAGCGCCATGGGCTGCGGTGGGGGCGCCTGAGTCCGCGTTCGCCCGGCGGCGCCTCCTCGCCCCGCGCTCGGCTCCTGGCCGCTGCCGCCTATGGAGTCGGGTTCCGAGGAGCCCGACGAGCAGCTGCTGCTCCTGTCGGAGCCGGCGCTTCGGGCGGGGCCGTCCGCGGGGAGAGCCGCCCCCGGCGGGGCCGTGAGGCTGTGCGGGGAGCCGGGGCCGGAGGAGGAAGAGGAGGGTGAGGAGGACTCGGGGCCCGAGGGGGATGGAGAGGAAGAGCCTCTCCTGCGGGCGTCGGGCCGCGGGCGCCGAGCGGGCGCCGCCCGGGATAAGGAGCCCCGCGTCGGCGCAGGTACGGCCGCAGGGTTGGCGCGGGGGGAGCGGCGCGGGGCGCCCGGCGTGTGCCCAGAGAGGTGGATGGACGGAGGGGCTGACGGGCCCGGCCTAGCCCAGCCCCGCGCAGTGGGTGGGCCGTACCTGCCGGGCCGAGGTGCTCGCGGCTCGCAATGCCCGCTGCTTCGCGGGCCGCCCGTCCCGCGCGGAGAGCCAGCAGACGGTGCCGGGCGGCGCGGGACGTGCGGGGCTGCCGAGCTCGTGCGCTTCTCCGTGAGCCTGCCCGCTGCTGCTGAGCCTTGTCCTTGCCGTTCGGTTCTGCTGCTACTTTCTTTGGGTTTGTCGCTTTACACAGTAAAAGTTCTGACTGCACGACTGCGGGCTGCCGCTGCTTCTTCAGGCTTTGGTGCTTTCTTTTGTACGACTTTGAAAGCAATGTAGGGTTTGCCGATGGAAATCCACGGATTTGTGTCACCGATCAGTGTGTGCTGTGGTAATTATATTTTTTGTCCATGATGGGCTTTAAAATTGCCTCTTAGGAAGGCTTTTTTTTTTTTTTTCTTTAAACTTGAAAAAAGTTCATTTTGCAGGAATAGTTGATTTTACAAACAAATCAAAAACGCACCAATTTGAACAAAACAGGCTATGTGAGTAACTCTTCTTAAGTAGCCATAGGGAGTTTAACTGTAAGAAACAAATGCAATCTTGTTTTTTAACCAGTAAAAGATGTGAGGGTGCCGATAGGATGTTAGGGTTCTTCTGCTTTATTTCTGTGGAGATTGAATGTATTGAGATGGTGCTTTTAGCAAAGTATCATCCTTAATGTTTCTGAGGGGAGACTGGAGCTCTGAGTCTCATCCTGCAGAGCAGTAAGAGAGGTGAATGCAGAGATCTCTTTGACATCTCCTCTGAGATTATGTAAGAAAACTTCAGAATTCCTCAAGGCTCCCCCTACTAATACTAGCATTAAAATAGAGAAAGTCTTAAGTGAAAGGAGTTAGAGTGCTACACTTACACACAAAATACACTGGTTTAGCCGATGTGATCGTTAACTTGATGGAAGAACAAGTAGAGGTGTGTGCTTGGATGACAGTGCTCATGTCCTTGATGGGACGGTCTTGTTGTTTAAGTTTGTAAAGCTGCTGTACTTGGACCTTGTGCAACTTCATTTGGAAAATGCTGACTGTGTGGCTGAGCCCTGATCTCCTGAATGGGAACTTCTGAGAAGAATAGTTCTTGGAGCAGCTGCAAGAAAAACCTTCAACAGTTGTAATTGTGCATCCAGGGATGGTACTGAAAATAAGCTGTGTTATGTTTTCATAGAGGAAACCAACTTGGAAAACCCTGCTGTGTTCAACAGATGCTAGTTACAAGTGGCTTTTTTTTTTTTCATATGGAAGCTGTTGAGAAACTGAAAGGAAACTTCTTACAACTGCTTCTGTCCTTGTTTGCATCCTGTGTGTTCCCATATACCCACATCACTGCAGCAATAGGCTTTCTAGTAGCTCAGTAGCAACAATGCTAAAACCCTACGTTTAAAAAGACAAAAATTCTCTTGAGCATACAGCATAATGTATTTCTTAAATATAACTGCAAGACAAATGTACTCAATTACGTTCATGTTAGGGAGACGTGATAGAAGATTATATTCCTAAAGGCAGTAAGGATTCTAATGGATTTTGGACCTGGAATGAATGCGCAGAAGTTAAAAGCTGACCTCTGAGAAAGCCAGAGCTCTCCAGTTCGAGAACTTACACCAAGAAATAATGTAAAGTTTTGAAGAGCAATAGAAGTATTAATTCCTGCCAGCTGTTTAGCTGCTTGTTTTTCATTATTGTTTATTATCTATATAGAACTGATTCCCTGGTCAGTGTGCAGAGAAGTTCTTCAGGAGGTTTACAGTGTTTTAGTGTTGAGTGCTGAAGGCATGCCATACTTGGTTGGGATGTTGATGCTACTTCTCAGCTCTACGTGTAAGACTGAGCGGGTAATGAATGTGCTAGCCAAGCTGTTAGCAGAATAATGTGGTACCATTCTAATACTCAGTGGGTGATGGACAGTTTGCTTTCAGTTACCTTTCTCTACTAAGAGGAGCAAAAGCCTTAAGAGAAGGGTATATGTGGATGTTCAATATACATGTGCATTTTTTTAGTTCTTTTTTTCTCCTTTAGGCTTTGTGACGTAAATATTAAAATAATCCTTGTAAGATATAAACATTTTGCAGTGCTAGTCCCAAAGTAGTTGTAGGTTTGGATGTTCTACTTTAAATACATTTTATTAGATGTGGGTGTATCAGTGTGCAAAGTTGCACTGATTCGACAGAGCAGATTCTCCTGCTTGCTGGTAAGTAGGCATTGGCAGGGAGAACTATTCATGTTTCTATGTATTTACTTATGCTTTTATTCTTTCTTACTACAAATTGTGCTTGTTTGCTTATTTTCTTATTTTCCAGGACATACGGGACACACTGTTGATATGAATACATTTTTAGATGATCCAGAATTTGCAGAAATTGTTATGAGAGCAGAACAAGCTATAGAGTGTGGAGTTCTGCCGGAAAGGATCTCTCAAGGATCCAGTGGGAGTTACTTTGTGAAGGACAGCAAGGGGGTGAGCAAAACGTTTCAAATGCAGAATCTCTAACAATAGCTGGTTTAAAATGAGAATTTCTAATTCTGTTTAAAAACCTTTTAAGCGTGCCAAAATCTAAGCAGCACAAGTAAGTATTTAGATTTCTGATGTCTTGCGGCATAAGTGAAGCCCAACTAACTGTTTCTCTATTGCAGTTTTAGCATGTTTTGGATATTCTGCATCAGATAAATACGGAGGAAATAAAAGGGTCTGTTTGAGAACAGCTCAGGGAACCTTTTTGCAGAATCTACCATTTTGTTTTTTGCATGTTTTAACTGATTTCCTTGAAAGAACTCAGCCTTTGGTTTAGTACTGTTCAGTGTTCTTTAGCGAGCAGTTTTACTTATTTATTTTTTCTCTGTTTATTGTGTTTTATCTACGATGGTTTGGTCTACATGCTCCTATGGACAGGCAAGGAGAGTGAAACAACCAGCCAACCTTTTTTGCTTGTAGTCAGCTACAGAATCTTGGCAGGGTAGTTTTAGTTTGTCTTACTTTTAAAGGTGCCATTTACCACTAACAGAAGAGAAGGGCAACTGTAGTAGTCACCTACTATATCATCAGAGTTGTCTTAAGTCTATTGTGAGAGAGAGAACTTAGTTACAACTTGCTTGAAAAGTATCACTATGTTAGCATTCTTATTAAAGGAGACTTTCGGCATAGTTCTTCGTTTTCTTTAAATCAGAAATACTTTGCTTATGGGCCTGTTCCAGAAAGCAGACTCCGGAACATTTTTAGCGAGTATCAAGAAGATAATTCTCTGTACCTTTTGATTTGTTATATGCAATTTTATTTTAAGCTCAGTCAGCAGCCTTTAATTTTAGGTAGATGCAGGTGTTTGTTAGTTCTGAAGATGCCGTTTGAGTTGGACTTGGAAACTGTAACACCTAAGTCCTAGGTTTTCACAACATCTGAGATTGCTTTTTCCTGCATCCTCAGAAAAGTTGTTTCTTCCTTGTTTGGGATTTAATTTTCTTTTTATTTAACCTCTATTTGTATTACTGGTTGTTATGGAGTATATTCCCGTCTTGCCACTTTTCATAGATATCCAGTTAGTTTTAATGGCAATTTTCTGGTGATAGTGTTTATGCTTTTGAATGAGTGATTTTTCACAATAATTGCCTGCCTTGAATTATGTTGTGGTCTCATTCTGAACTTATTTTGAAGACGTAAGGTGGCAGAATTACCCATACAAAATCTTTTCAGGACTGTATATATGGTTCATGCTCCTGCATTCCAGGAACATTTGCTAGTAGTGAGCTCCTTCATCCTGTTGGAGGAGAACCAAAGTGGATGGGGAAGAAAGTGAGGGGGATGTCTTTTTGAAACTGGAAGAAAAATTGTTTCTTTCTCCAATCAGTTTGTGGGATTCTTGCTCATACGTATAATACTATTTACAGAGAGACCCGTTTCGAGTTTCATCAGTAATTTTTTACTTTCAAGTCACTTCCCTACTTCAGTAGTTTAGTTCTGTGCAGGCTTTCAGCTTGTATGCTTACATATGCATATTCAAACTGAATACAACTTCTAAAGAGATTCTGAAGAAGTAAGGATCGTTTCTGTGATTCTGTGATTCTGTGATTCTTTCCTTTTGTGGAATTGGAAAAATTCAGAGCAGCTTTGTGGCTTGCTTTCTCCTCCCTGTGTTGGGGAAGACCTTATTAACTGATATACTTAGCATTCTAACTGCTCAGCTTCTGGCATATTTACTCACGCTAATACCAACTTCTAGCTAAAATGACTTGTTGCCGTTAAGTTGTTTTAATTGTTGATTTGATTCTCCCAGAAATACAAACCTGTCACCTTTCTGTGTTTTACTGGTGTAGCTGTTTACTGATACAAAGCAGTTCAGTACTTCAGCATTCTTGATGAAGTGACGAATACTTGTTCATTTACCTGCACACTGTGTAACCAAGGAAGAGTCTATCTGCCTCAATGCAGTCTTCTGCAAGGTGTTTTTGCTACTGGCTAATTGGTCATGTCATTGCAGCCAGTCTAGAAATTAATTTTGACTGGCTTTCTTTGTTGTCTACATAGTGAGCCATCTGGTTCTACTCGACATCAGTGGCTCTGCAAAGTTTATCGAGGTTTGAACTTCAGGAAAAACTTGAAAATTGTATCTTGACTTGATATTATAGCACAGAAAGGTTCAGGCAAGCAATGGAATGAGCTAAGCTCCTTTTAAAAATGTTCAGTTTGTGGGAAGTACTACCTAAAATGTGACTCAGAAAGGATAATTAATGACTTGACCTGGCATATAAGTGTAATACATCATTACATTTCTGGGAAATGAAAGCTTGTAACTGTGTTTTCAGGAGGTAGATACATGTGATTCAACAGGAGTAAAATAACTTTTTTAAGAATGCTAGTATTGTGATGTTGGCTGAAGTAGCATGCCAAGCAAATTCCGTTTCCAAAGGGTTTTTTTTCTTTTGTTGCTTTAGGAGGCCAATTCCTAATGTGTTCTGTGTGGAGAACATAGTTGTGAATTCCAGACTTACATGTTACAGAGAATGCTTGTTGTAGGAATAAGGACCTCTTGTGTAGGTCTAAATAGAATCGTAAACACAATGCACAGTTGCAGAGAACTTGCACACCATTAGAACTGGAGATAACAGCGTGCTGAAAGCATGAGAGAATTTTTGCCACTTCACATCCTATTCCTGTTGATAGTAAACTTGTAGAATGAATGCAAATAGTAATGTTTCAACTTATTTCTTCTGGTAGTTGGTGGGAGTGAATCAAAGTGGATAGGTAAGAGAAACCTACTGTGTTGTGTATTGTATTGCCAAGTGTAACAAAGTAAGTTCACTGTAGTTAGTCTTATCCAAAACAAGAGTGAAAGCAGCTAAAAATTCTATTGAACCTAGATCAACTAGTTAGTTCATCTCCATAGTCCAGCTGAATTAGGTTCCTGGGATGCTGGTAACTAACTAGCAGCAAACTGTGTTCTTAGTTTGACGTGCAAATCAGCTATAAGAATTGAGTGCAACTGCAAGCAATTCTTGGCTTATTGAGTGATTACTTTTTTTTTTTGGTAAGGATTCAGAGAACTAGTATGAGAAAGTATTTTTAAATAGTTGTATTCATTACATATTACATAAGAGATTGATTTACTTAGTGTGGTCATCAGAAAAGGAATAAAAATACTGCATGTCTACAGTATTTTACTTGAGCTATACAAAAGTCACTGCAGGGACCTTGTACATTAGGCTAAATTTTATCACAGACAATGGGAAAGGTATATAATTCAGTGTAACGAAAACTGTGCAGTTTGAGGTTAACAAATAATAGAACCCTGTTGTAGGAGGCACCTTAAGAAATTATCTCTTTAATCCCTATGTTGCAGAGCAGGATTGTCTTAAAGGATTTGTCATGCTCCTGTGACTAACCTGTTCTTAGCAGCATCCTGTTTTGGAAACTGCGCAGCCCAGAAATTTGTTCTGGTCTTAAGCCTACTCTTAAGGTTTAAGAGTTTTCCTTGCTTCTTACCTGCTGGGATTTAAGCCTATCGTTTCTTGGTTGGTTAACACTAAATCTGTTGTTCCTTGTTTCTTTATAGCAACTTATTTAGTTGATTTTTGCACCCTATTTTTTCTTCTTTAGGCTGAACAATCCATGGTCATACCATCTGGGATCTGTGAATTATGGAGAAATATTTACTGTCTTGCATATTCTCATTTTTTTTCCCAATTTTCTCTAGTTATTGCACAGATTTCTTGAAGCATAATGTCCAAAAATGGAATAGTACTCCTAGTAATCTTAAGCTTTGGTACAATTATTTATGTGTGTCAGCTAATATAAACTGCTGCTGTCAGCTTTGTGTCAAGGAATCTACAGTGATAGTGGTGCTATCCATTGGAGCTGCCAAGTGCAAGTTTTCATGTTTTCTAACTGAAAGTAATAAAATAGATACAAAAGATAAAATGTAACACTTGATTATCAGCATTCTGTATATTTTTTGCTTTCCTAGAACCATTGTCTGTCTGGAATGTCTAATCAGTAAGTTAACTGGTAGGCTGAAAGTTCTTCTTAAAGTTGCTTTTAAAAACTACTTGTGTTCTAAAATAGTTGTCTTTAATTTTGTAGAAGTAGCAAGTGTTGGCTGGTTTTGATGTTTTTGTTATGAAAAGAGGTCATTTTGAATTTGTGCTATTTCTAGAACAGCATTATATAATGCATTTATTTCAAATACTATTTTGTTGGGTCTAGATTTATTATATTTTATAGAAAGGGGAATTGTGTAATGCATTAGGATTTAAAATTATTTTGAATATTTGTTATTGAAAGTATCCGTGGTTTAATTGTATATTATTTATCCTAGAAAATGATTGGAGTGTTCAAACCAAAATCTGAAGAGCCTTATGGACATCTAAATCCTAAATGGACCAAATATTTTCACAAGATATGTTGTCCTTGCTGCTTTGGCAGAGGCTGCCTTGTTCCCAACCAGGGCTATCTCTCTGAAGCTGGTGCCTATCTTGTAGATGACAAGCTGGGGCTGGGAGTTGTGCCCAAAACTAAGGTAAAAGTTAAAAATTCATGAATTATCAAATGCAGAAAGTACACAGTTACTGATATATCAGAATCTGGGCTGCAGTTGTGATCGCGTTAGCTCTAGATCATCTGCAAACTGTATCAAGTCCTATTGCCCAGTGCTGTAGTGTAGAAACAGTGACTCTGTGGTTCTTTGTTTTAAAGGATAAGTTTGAGAGTTGAATTAAATCTTCAGTGTGTTCTCCATTTAAAATAAATAACCACTTCAGTGTTCAGTATTTTCTGCTGTTTGTCTGCATCTAATTTAGCAAGAAGCGTAAGAATTGTAAATTCTGATATATTCTATATAGCAGTGCATAAAGATTCTAGTTTGCAAGTATTTCATCACATTTCTCTTTAAGATTTCTCTTTAAGATATGTGAGATAGCAAATATTCATGCTTTCTTGGTTTTTATTTATTTATTTGTTTATTTATTTTCCCTACTGGAGTTGCCTGATGCTTCATTTTTGCTTTCTTGGCAACAGCATAAAACTTACCGTAAATAGATAAATAAAATGATGCATAATGGAGTTGTGCTTTTAACATTTTTAATGGTGACATTTTCTTACTTGAAGGTTGTCTGGCTTGTCAGCGAGACCTTTAATTACAGTGCAATAGATCGTGCAAAGTCGAGAGGAAAAAAATATGCTTTAGAGAAAGTGCCAAAAGTTGCTAAAAAATTTAATCGCATTGGACTACCTCCTAAGGTAAGATTGAAGAGAAGATCAATGCGTTTCCTTTCTCTGGCACAAAAACCTTGATAATAAAAATGCTATAGATGACTAGCAGAAGAAACACCTTGTTGTTTATTTACAAGCAATCTCTGAATGATGGAAGGTTGATTAAATGTAATTGTTCTTAAGCAAAACCTGACTGTTCTGTTGCATCTTTCTTTCTCTTAAACTACGCTCACAATCTAGCCACTGCTTCAGTTTGTAGCTTAGCTTTCTCCTTGAAGAAAATCACATAAAAATCGTGTATTTCGTTTTTCTCCTTGTCTTAACTAGTTGTATTCCCTTTGTTGCTTGCTGTTTTTTTGTTTGTTTGTTTCATGATTGCTTCTCCCTTGCTGTTTTTCTAGTTCTTTCAGGTTTTCTGAATCTTTCTCCCTTCTATTTCTTTTCCTTTTTTAGGGATCTTACTGTCATGCTCATCCTACCTTCTTGTGTGCAGTGTTCCTCTGACTACAGCCTCACATCTTTCTTGATGTAACTGCAGAATCTCACCAGTTCTACTCTTACACTTTTAAAACACAACTTTAGTGATCTACTTCTCAATTCCAGCAATTTAGTTTGATACAACATATGTTATGCAAGCTTGTATCACATATTGCATGTTTATTATGTACACTTAAAAGTTCATCTGTATCTCAACATGTGTGCATCTATATACATTTTAATTCTCAAATATAATCTCTCTTTTGAATTTTAATCTTGAGTAACTTTTCTGTTGTCCACACATACGGAGCCTATTTCATCTGTGCTTTCCTTCCTTGGAGTCTTTTGGGAAATGTATTTCAGTCATTTTCATGCAAAATGTTTTGAAAAAATGACCAGAGCTGCTGGTCTCATCAGTGAAACATACAAGCTGTTCAGAGGGGAAGACTTTTTTTCCTGCTGTAATTTTTGGTGAGTTTTCTATGAATTGATGAACCAAGTATTTTCAATGAAAATAGATGCTACTTCTTCATATCAGATATTGCTCATAACACTGAAGCTTTGTTTGTGCCAGTCTGTCTGCCTACTTTTAGTTCCTGGTAAATTCAATGAGTGCTTCAACACACTGAAAATCAGACCAAAACCAAAAAAATCCAAATCACATTTGAGACTTCTTAGAATTTTCTCAGAATTTAGAGAAACCACTGGGGAAGAGAAACTACTTAGTCTTGTTTTCATATTTTCTGGTTTTTGCTGGGTGTTTCACTGTATTGCTTTCAGTGTTCTGACCTTTGAAAGGATGTTAGCTGAAGACATGTGTGGATGTATTTGTTATATGGTTTCTTAATATTTTAGGTTGGCTCCTTCCAGCTGTTTGTTGAAGGATATAAGGAAGCTGACTACTGGCTCAGGAAGTTTGAAACTGATCCTTTACCTGAGAACACAAGGAAGGAATTTCAGTCACAGTTTGAAAGATTGGTTATCTTGGATTATGTCATCAGAAATACAGGTACCTTGTAGCATCCTGAAATATCAGTGAACTTGAGGGGAAATTTGTAAATAACTCTGACTGAAAGTTGCTAGTGAAAGCTTTAATGCTTTTCAAGTGTTTTACTCACAAATGAAGGCAAGAATGTATATCTCTAGATTCAAACACTAAATATTAGAGAATTACAAAATCCAAGCAATTTTTATTGGCAGTTACTTGATATTTTTAAATGACTTGAGAATTTAAAATAAAATACTCCTGCCTTAGCTGTGTTAATAGGTGGTTAGTTGTCTCTTTTGCAAAATTAGAGGAAAGGATGGTGAAGTTACAGGAAGCATAAAAGCAACCACAGCTACCATTCCTTTTATGCTGAGCTGGAGACCAATAACAGCACAGTTTCACTTTGGTGCAAAATACTTTGTATTGATGGTGGCCAGGCACTGAACAGTAATCTGTGAAATGTCTGTTCTCCTGTGTTCCTCTTTCTTTCACTTGGAGATTAAGATTTTTGTTTTGACTTTTTGTAGGTGATTTGTTTTAGAATTTTGTAGAATGCAAAGGCAGTTTTATCTAAATGGTTCCTTTGCTGCTTCATCTGAAGTGGGCATCTTTACTACTTCTATAGGAATGCCAGTGCCTGAAGATACTTCTTGCTTGATTATTTTTTTTTTTCCTGTATATTCAGTCAGTAAAGCAGTAGTATATATATTACTTAAATATGTTTAGTAAAATTTAGTGTTTCCAATAAATCAGTTATCTTAAAGGTTTCACAAAAGGTGTTTTGGAGGGGAAAAAAACCTGAATGGTTTTGCCTGATATCTTTGGTAAATTCTCAACTTACAGTATTACTTTCTGTATAATTTTGAGTGCTTTCTTTATATGATGTCTTGTGACATGCATTTTTTTTCTTTACTTAAAGACAGAGGTAATGATAACTGGTTAGTCAGATATGAAAAGCAAGGTGATGAACTTAACCTGTCAGATAAGGTAAGAAAATAATCTGAAAATGTTCTGATTCCTACAGCTGTTTCTGGGCTCTGTTTATTTCGTATTTTTGGAAGAGCTCCTTTGTTATGGTGGTAGCCTTAAGAATTCTGTGAGCTGCAGTTTCTTTGATAGTCCTTCCTGAAATTTAAATTTACTTAAATTAGTGAAACTAAAACCCATATTTAGTATTCTAATGTATGTTATATTTTTATACGCACGCAGGTGTCACTAAACTTTGAAATATTCCTTCCATAGGATATTCAATGGACTGTAACTGAAGAATCTACTATTAAAATCGCTGCAATTGACAATGGCTTAGCATTTCCCTTTAAGCATCCTGATGAGTGGAGGGCGTGTATGTATTGTATTACTCAACCATCTTACTTCTGGACAAGTGATTTCTAAATAAGTATTTGCAGTTTGGGTGATAATGAAGTGTAAAACCATCAAGCTAGCACCAAATGCTTTTCTTTTTCAGTGGCATGTGTGATGTGTGATATAGTCCTTTGCTTTTTTTTTCTTTTAAACTTAGAGCAGTATTAATACATAGATATTCACAAAGAATGATTCTTACTTTTTTTTTCTAATTAGTGCTGTCAAAAGTGACTTGAGTGCAAGGATATGCAAACTGTTTCAAAACTGTTCTGAGGGTGCTGCTGTGAATAAGTAGACAGCCTATTTAGTATTTTTCCTTGTTTTCAACCCTAGCTCATTTTGTAGAATTTAATATTAGGTTCAAGAGGATAAAAAAAATTTACATTCCTAGTAAATCTAAATTGCTTCTGAAAATCTCTCTGAATACTTACAGTTTAGAGGAAAGTGCCTGAAAAGGCTTAATGATGTCTGTGAACTGTTGGCCGATTGGGTAATTGTTACAGTTAAGTGTGGCCTGGTTAATAAAAGGCTATTTAATTACTTGCTCATAGCTCTGTGCAGTCCTAAACATCTTGCTACTTGATAGCTATTTCCCACATATCTCTTCTGCAGTCAGTTCTAGTTCTGTAGCTGTTATGTTATTCCAAAGGAAATTAAATTACTACACAAGGAGTAAGCTGCTTTTGTTTACACTATTTATTGGTTAAACTAAATACTCAAAATATTCTTAAAATGTATGTTGTCACTGATGGAGTAAAAAAAAAAAAAATAAAAAAAACATAGCTGTTGTTGTAGCTGCAGCCAGATGAGGTACATTGAGGTAACCCAGTGCTGTGGAAGCACATATTACTGATTACCTCCAGGAAGGAGCATGCTACCACAACAGTCGTAAACACTTGAAAACTTAATTTTTGCCTGTTGTTTTTTCCTATGTTAGATCCCTTTCATTGGGCTTGGCTTTCTCAAGCACAAGTTCCCTTCTCTCAGGAGACTAGAGACTTGGTTCTTCCTCGCATCTCTGACATGAACTTTGTACAGGATCTTTGTGAAGATCTTTATGAACTATTTAAGGTGAGAGGGATGCTTCTTTGAATTTGGCATTTCTGATATACCTAACTGTTCCATTACAAGTACAGGTAGTTCTTGTTTTTGATTTTGTTGTACCCTTTTCTACCAAATCATTATATATACATAATTACAGGAAGCTATGTCACTGTTGTGACTAAGAGTCAGCTTATCTGAAAACCTAATTACCTTTATATATAGTGAAGTTTCACATACTTGGTTAAGTCTAGTTAATCTTTATAGAACAAATCTATGTAAATTCTCCATTTAACCTGTCTCTGTAGTGTATATACACTTAAACTGAAGTAGCCCAATGAGTCTGGCACTAATAATTGCATCTTTGACTCGGCTGCATTCAAAATGACTCTGGATTTTCAAATTCTGTAAAAGGACGTAATAAATCCAGAGGTAGAAGAATTTCTTTGGCAGAGAAAAAATGAGGGTCCAGTGGTATAACATTGTGGTGGTGTTAAGGATGCCTACCAGTGGGTTGAATTGTTACCTATTGATACGTTCTGCTTTTACCATGTGATGAATTTTGATGTTTATTTTGACATAACTAAATTGTTTGCAGTAAGTAGATTTCTTTGAGTCGTTCTGTGACTACTGGGAGCTCCCTAGGTTTATTATGATGTTGATAGATATGACTGTGCATATTGCAAACTCGATAAATGTGCATACCAAAACCACAGTTGATAACAAAGGGATCATTTCTTATAATAACTGTAATGTTTTATGTTTTCTTCACAAAGACTGATAAAGGATTTGACAAGGCTACTTTTGAAAACCAAATGTCTGTTATGAGGGGGCAGGTAAGACTGCATTTTAATATTACTTAATTTGTCACAACTTCTCAGGTGTTTGTGTTTGTATCTGGAAAATAACAAAGCTCCTATTCAACTGGAAGATACTTGAAGGCCTTTTCATCTGGGAAGAGTAAATTGAGTTTTAATGGAGGCTTTTTTTGAAAGGGAGGAGATGATACCTGTATATTCTTTGATATATTAAACAAAACATTATTAAAATAAATACAAAATAAAGTTGTATTGATTTTAGAAGGTTAACTTCTTGGAAATACTTCTCACAATAAAGAAATCGGGTAGTAGAATTCCTTCATCTTAGCAGATGTCAGTACCAATGATTAGCAGAGTAATCCAGGCATTTCCAGATTAGAGTTTCAGTGATAAATTTAAGTCATTTTGTAGTACTAAAACAAGAGAGGAAATGGTTTCTCTCTCCTTGCTGCTTCAAAATTGGTCTGATATACTGGAGGACGAAACTATAAAAATAAATTTAGTTCATTGTAAGTAAGCTGGGCATAAACCAGTGATTTGTGAAAACATAAGGGAATTGGGCTAGAGGAACTAAGACTCCCTTCTGAGCGCACTGAAACTGACTTCTCTGCATTTGTAAATTCAGCGTGGGTAGTTTAAAGCCAGACGTTGGCAATTCCTAGAGTGGCTTTGTCTGTTTTTTTTTTCCCTGTAACAAGAAGCTTTATGCACAACTGCAGTTCTGTTTAGTCAAACATAATTCCAGTTACCATTAATTGTTCACTGGCTAAAAGCCAGAGAACCTTATTCTTTATGAGTTTAAAAGTTTAGTTTTAAGAGCTATTTCTGAAATAGATCTTTGAAGATCTTTGTGAAGCCACTGGAAATATTCTGAAATATTCATCTATCTTAACAGAGTTAAGTAGTTTTTTAAGTTGTTTTTGTTTGTGCTGAATCAGTCAGCTACAGGGAATCTATTGTTTAACAAAAAAAGATACAGGCAAAATCTAATCTGCATAGCTGAGAGAGACCTAGACAACAATGTCTAATTCAATTTGACACTAAAAAGTCAGAGTCCAGACCCTCTCGTCCAACTTCTTTTTTTGAGGTGGATTTCAGCAGAGGATTTTATTTTTGTCTGTCTGCCCTTGGAGCTGTGTAATTGCAACAGATGTAATTTTTTTTCAGGCTTGGATGTAGATAAAAGAAGTTTAACAGAATTATTCCTTGATGTTTGGAAATCCGGGAGCAAGGGATTCTCTCAGCATTGATTTTTAGAGTTGCTTTTGATGTATGTTTGAAGGGGATTATGCAAGAGTGGGATAACCACATTGATTACGGAAGATTTTTTCTGCAGGATAGCAGAAAAACCCACCACTCTGTAGACATGTTATTAAAAATAGAGAATCTAGTTGATAAAGATAAGAAATACCAAGAACAATGTATCTTGCATGTGAGGGTATTTATGAGGCTTTAAATCTGAGGCACTGAAAGTATTTAGAAATACATTTTTGTGAAACAGGAAAAAATAGTAGAAAGAGTTTCAAGCCCAACGTGACCAGTTCTTGAGAATATAGAGACCATAGCAAATGGTTAATGCAGACCTTTGAACTTGGAAAATGTCAAGTGGAGTTCCTGTAAGAACCAGTTTGTGGGGAAACCATGCAACAATCTTAATCTGCGGGGTTCTTCATCTGGGAAAGCATGCAACGTGGAAGTGTGGAACACGCTGATCTGCTGTTCATTCCACAGGGAAGGAAGGAGGATGTGCAGTGAGGGGAAAGGGGTTGAGATTATAGCTAATGCAAATATGTCAGCTAAATTGCATTTGAGTACTTGCCTTAGTTTTCAGTAAAGGAAACGTTGAACATCATGTAAGATATCAGGATAGGTAGTGAACACTGAAGTTTTTGGAAGGAGAACAACAGATTCTTGGCAGATCTGAGGGCTGAATTTGAATCTTAGCACTGGATTTGGCGAATGAAATAGCAGTGGAATGTCATAATGTTATCACATGAGGTACTTCTACTTGCAGTAGATTCTTAAACAAATTTTGTAGAAGACTGCCTTATCAAATAAATGGAGTGATAGCCATGTTTACAATCCTGTCAACCACAATTTAACTTGTATGCTTGCACCTTACCTGCTTTCTACTCTTTTAGATACTAAACCTTACTCAGGCATTAAAGGATGGAAAAAGCCCCATTCAGCTTGTTCAGATGCCACGTGTAATTGTGGAACGAAGTAGCACTGGAAGTCAGGGCCGAATTGTTCATCTGAGTAACGCGTTCACACAGACCTTTCATAGCAGGAAGCCTTTTTTTTCCTCCTGGTAGCAACAAAAATATGTGGGGAAGAGTAAGCTTCTCTAACTTTGGTAAGCTACTTCTGTGTAAAGGCTCTGCAATAATGTACTTCTGCTGTATACCAAGAGCTCCAACTGCCATCACCTCAGAACTTAAATTCTAAAGACTTAAGAAATGTATTTTGAGTGTAATAAAAGTTTACAATTTTTGTGTCAAAATCATGAATTCATATGTCAGGGAATGAGAAGAACTTGTCCATACTGTATTTTTATAGGCTGAATTAATGTAATCTGAATAATACTAAAGGGAAGATGCACAGTTTGCATATGCTGAGAAACTACTTTTGAATACAACAGAAATTCTTTTGGTTTAATATGAATGTGAAAAGCTATAATCTATCAGTTTCCTTTTATATGTTCTTTAAAAAAAGTGGAATGTTTTATTTGATTGTGAAAATGCTTTTCCTTGAAGTTTCTGCCTCATTTGAAGCTGTTAATAGATTTTCATAGGCTATTTATGTGGGGAAAAAAGTTATGCACTTAAGAAAATAATAATAATTTAAAAATCCTTGACACACATGTGAAGGGGGGGAAGGAGAGAGATGCTCAAAGTAGATTTTTTTTGTTGTTGTTATTGCATGTTGGGACCAAAAATAATTAAATAGCTTTTAGTTGAATTACAGCAAAATTCATCCCCAGTAAGTACACACAGTTTTTTTCTACTGTGACAAAATGAACTGAGTGTACATTTTGGAGGGTGAAACTTTACCTGTAGCTTTTATGTACTTCAATACAAAAGTTCTGTATGCATAAATGTGGTGTTTCTTTGTAGATAGATTACAGCAAAAGAATTGCACAATGGTACAGGTTGGGTTTTTCCTTATAACTGTGTTAATCTGTAGTCACCAAAGTGGTTCTTCACTATTGATGACAGAAGCACTATTAATCACAAAGCTAGTCTGCCTCCTGAATTTCTAACCAAACACACTGTTATTTTTTGACTGGAAAAAAAAAAAACAAAACAAAACAAAAAAACAACAACTTACTGTAATATACAGAGCACAGAGATTTATAATTGGACCCTTAACAATGTTATGCTCATTTGCCAATTTTCATTTATGTTTAAGTAATGTGACTTAAGACTTGATAGTCATGCTTCTAGATTTGTAGCTTATGTTATATGATAAATGTTTATTTTCGTAACTTTTCAGTGAAGACCAGGAATGGGAGAAAAAATTGCTGCTTTTATGAGAGAAACTTTCAGTATTTCAGATATTTCTGTATTTTGTAATTCTAAGCAATATTGCTGAACTCAAATGCTTGTATTTTATATAATTTTGGATGTAAATATTGTTGTAGCGTGTCAGCAATTCACATGATTAACTAAAGTGTTTAAGCCTTAAATGTTGAAAAATAGAAGAAATACAGTGTGATGGAGTTGAAAACTGAAATGACCACCTTTATAAATTATCCATTATTTGTTTTTATCCAGTTTATTAAAATTTAAAGCAGGTATTTATGTACCAGACCTCCTACTGAAGAAAATAAATGTTAAAGTCTGAAACGCACAGGGTTTTGACTCCAGTATTGTGTTTGTCCTACAGAGAGAATCCTTAATTGTCTTGTTTGATCTGTATAACTCTTTGTACTAAGTATACTCTCTGTACCTGTTACATGGTGTAACTTTCTTGAGAGTACTGAGAAGATGTAACTGGAATGGCACTGCATAGTAAGTTTTAATAACGTTGTCCATTATTATGATTTACCTTCTGTGCTGAAGAGAAGTATTTCCTCTTTCCTGGCTGTAGCATCTCACCGCTTTTTCATAGAGGAGGCTCAGAAGAGAGCTTATTGCTCTACAACTCCCAGAGGTTGTGGTGGGTTAGTGGTCAGCCTCTTCTCCCAGGTAATTCTCCCAGGTAACCGTGATAGGACAAGAGGGAACGGCCCTCAAGTTGCATCTGGGGAGGTTCAGGTTGGATATTAGGAAAAATTTCTTCTCAGAAAGAGTGGGCAGGGACTGGAGCAGGCTGCCCAGGGAGGAGGTGGAGTCACCGTTCACGGCAGCGTTAATGAAAGGTTTAGATGTGGTACTTAGGGACATGGGCTAGTGGCAGTATTTGTGATAGGTGGACGATTGGACTGCTAGGTGATCTTAGAGATCTTTTTGAACCTCAATGATTCCATTTGAGTTACTATGCCTTAGTGACCAGAATGCTTCTATATGCTCCCTAAACCCTGACAGACTTCTTGAGAGTACTGGTGGTGGCTGGAGAAAACTGAATGTAAAGCAGTACGGGGCTCCTCGAAGCACTTTGCTGGGCGTGCTTTGAAAAACCTCACGTGCAGTCTATTCCTCACAGCCATCTCTTCCAATGCCCAGTTTGTAGCAGAAAGCTACAAATTGTATCATTGTAGCAGAAAACGCTGGACAGGCGGTGCGTGCAACCTGTGGGACCTCGGTTAAGGTAAGGAGGAACTGAAGTTCACGTAGTGGCAGGAGCACCAGGCAGAGGACGGCAGCGTGTATTCAGGGGAGGAGCATCGGAATCTATTGCTACTTCGGTAGGAGGTCGGAGCCACAGCGCTTGTCGCGTTCCCGCCTCCCTCTGCTTGCGGTGCTGCTGGGAAGGCTGTACCAACATGGCGGCCGGCGCTGAAGGGGCAGCGGGCGCGGGGTCGGGCGGGCTGGCTGTGCTCGGCGCTGTGCCCGGCGCTCCCTGCTGCCCGCACGGTGAGCAGCGCTCGGGCGGGATGGAGGAGCGGGGCCGGCCGGGAGCTCTGAGGGCCGCGAGGGGGGTGGCCGCAGATCCTGAGGAAGCCCGGAAGGCATAAAGCAGGTCTGTGGGCCTCGTGTCGTTAGGTCCTGCTCTCCTGTTCGTGAAGACCAGCCAAGGAAAAGAGGAGGGGAGAAGATTCTATGCTTGTTCGGCTTGTAGGGACAGAAAGGATTGTAAATTCTTTCAGTGGGAGGATGAGAAGGTAAGAGGGCTGCTTCATGCTGAGGGGGTGTTAGGGTTTGGGTGGTTTTTGTTTGTTTGTTTGGGGTTTTTTTGCTTTTTTTCTTTTCTCAGTTTTCTGTTAAAGACTAAAATGTAAATGTCATTTTGGAAATCTGTGGTAATTGTTCTGTAAGTGCTTTCCTAACAGTATTCGGGTAGCAGAATGCTTTCTGTGAGGGGAAGGTGTTTCAGGTACGCTTTTGGAAGAGGGCTGCCCTACGCATTGAGCAAAAGTGGTGTTTGTTACTGTGTTACCAAAATACAGCTGAGTTGGGGCTGTGAGTTTTGCCACTATGGTGCGATGCTGAGCAAAGGATGGTTCTGACCTGGGAGGTCCTCATCTTCTGCAGTCCAGGCAGAGAAAACTGGGTGGGTGCAGCAGATATTGTGCAGTGCCTAGAGAGGGCGGTGGGGGTCGGATCTGTAAGTTCTGTGCCGATGTCTTGATACTGTTAGCTATGAGATGAGTGTGTTTTGTGGGAGTGATGGCACAGGCTCAGCAAAGTGCATTTAAATAATGGCACACAAGGGTCTTCAGCAATGTTTCTGTCAGTCATGTGGAATAGTTTTTCAGAGGGAATTCTATCAATGTAGGAACACGTTAATAGCCTGTCCATCTCTTTGTTTATTGTAAGCACATTTTGAGATGTTTTCCTTCTATGTTACATGATGTAAAGGAACTGAATTCTTACATTTATTTATTTGTTGCTGCTTGGTTTGAATTCAAAGAGACTTCCGTGTAGCTTGCCACTAAACTGTGGTCATGCTTGTTACTCTCAGCCAGGAACCCCAGGAATGGGACAGTTTTCCTGAGCAGAGGACCTGAAGCACAAGATCTTTGATGCACTCATTTTTGGTTAATCCTGAGATTTGTTTTACAACATAGTGATTCCTGCTTTTTAACTTCTTACATGCATAAATTTTACAGGTATCACAAGCTAGACTTGCAGCCCGTGAAGAGTATAATAGAAGTCATCAGCCGCCTTGTACTCACAGACAGAATGTGGAAAGGTATTATTGCTAAGTGCATTTTCATTTGTAGTCAGTCTTATATAAATGTAGAGACTTTGTATGAAGGCACAATGTTTCTGGATTCTTTGGAAAATGAAAGCATGGCAGAGGCATATAGAAAAATAAGAAAAGATTGTCTGTAAAGTGTAAGTAGCATTGAACATCTGATTAGAACACAATGCTTTCAACTCAGGAACTGTGCCTTTTTATTTTCATAGCTACAGTTTTCCTTATGTCAGTGCTCTTAATGTGTTAACAACAGGTCTGTAGCAGTGCAAGTTCAGAAAGTTATTTCTGACTTGCACAGACTGTACAGTAACACTAATTTGTGAGTTATGTACAAGCAAGTAGTCTTGTATGTTTATAGTTGATACATTCTTCACTCTATAATCTAGTTATTTTACAAATTCTCAATGTCTTTGACCATTGCATTACTTACTTGCTTTTAGGGGAGATTTTCAAAGTGTCCTATGAACACTTTTTTTCGTAAGTATTATTTCATTGACATGTAGTTAGTGGAGTTTTGCAAAAGCAGCTTAAAGTATTTGCCACTGTAAATGTCTTGAAAACATGAAACCCATTTGTATCTCCTTCCATTTCTTTTATAGAGATTTTTTCAAAATTGCCTTTTATATTTATAGATACAAGAATTTTGTTCTGTTGCCTTTATCAAAGAGGAGGTTTTGTCAGGAATGCCAGCAATTGCTATTGCCAGATGAATGGGAAAAACACTCGAGTCATCAGTTCCTGTATGATATCTCCACTGCCCAGCTAAGAAGTCCCAGTCAACTTTTGTATCCACTAGAAAATAAAAAAACAAATGCACAGTATTTATTTGCAGACAGAAGTTGCCAGTTTCTACTGGACCTTATTATTTCACTAGGATTCAGACGAGTGCTATCTGTTGGAACACCCAGGTACGTATATTAAGAGGTTCACTATGCTTTAATTGGTTGGCAGAATCCAGGCACTTACTGGGAACATGCTTTGTGCTCACAAGACACACAGGAGGGCTGTAGCTGCACTGCAGTTAAATTCCCTCTCACCCACCTGTGTGGTTTTTAAATGTCGTGCTAATGCTTCTTACCAAAGTGACACTGAGTTACTCAGGTTATGCGTTGGGGTTTTTATTGTGGTGATTCTCTAATCTCCACTGACTTACCATCTTTTTAGGCCATCATAGTTTTCTAACTTTAAATATTGGCCATATAGCTCCATTTTCTTTATCTCTTTGGTTTTAGGCTTAGTAAAATACCAGATATTCTTGTCTTGCAAGATATTTTCTGAAGATGGTGGTTATATCTTACATTTCTTTGTTCTGATTATGCTTCAGGCTTCATGAAATGATCCAGTCAAAAGCTTTACAAGAAGACTTCAGGGTTAGAAGCCTTCTGCTAGATATTGACTTCAGGTAGGTTTTGATAAATGTTATGTGTCTGAAGAGTATATGCAAAAATTTGTTTCCTTATTACTTTAAAAGATAAATTGGTGGTTATCTCCATTTCTTGTCTCTACGTTTTCACTTCTGCACCCTAACAGTAGTGACAGCTAGTTTATGAGGAAAAATAGTTGTACTTAATTGTTTCCATTATCATGTTTTCAATAATTGGAACTCAAAAATGTTGTCTTTGTAAAGGCCTTATTTTCAATGTGAATGTCCCTTAAGGCAAGCAAGAAGTAACTCATATTTTTCTATTACTGTTAAAACGTATTTTACAGGTATTCACAATTTTACACAGAGGATGAGTTCTGCCACTACAACATGTTTAATCATTATTTTTTTGGTGGAGAGGTAAGGACAAGTATTTCTTGAATGCTTTGTGAAGCAATACATGTTGTTGATACAAAATTTAGTAAGAAGTACTGGCTAGTCTAGATGGTTAGTTAGAAGACAACTGTCATGAGATAAAAATGGTCAGCAGTACTGGAAATAAAAAAACCAACAACAGTGCATCTTCAGTTACTCTTTCCCACTTGATTCAAAAATAAAGTCATGGGACTTCAGGAACATGCTGACTAACATTACTTATACGGCTTAACGTTTCTTTTATTAAAATGACAGTTTGGTGTGAGTTTGAGTTGTTGCCTATTATTAGTATAGGCTAGCCCTGTTCCTGTGTTGCTACCACAGAATTGTTTTATTCCCAGCCTTCATGAGCCGAGCAGATGCCACAGTACTCATTCACTGATATTTGAGAGGGAAGGTTTTCCTGGTTTACTCCAGGCAAGTAAGGTCAAAAGGCCAAACCCCCTTTTTTTCTTTTTTTTTAAATAGAGGATCATAGTTTAATTCTAAGCACTCTTCTCAAAGCACTTATCCCAGTATCCTAACTCACTGTTTAGTTTTCCCCTGCCGTAATTAGTAAGCCCTGACTGAGTTGCGTAAACACTCTTACTGCAGTACCTTTCATACCACATAGGTCAGTTTTTTCTTTTTTTCTCATTCTAAAGCATAATTTTAGCGAGCTTTTAAAAATAAAAATAATCTAGCATGAAATGGAAAGCTGGCCTAAAAGCCTTACCTTTGAATTTCTTTGATTTGTTAGTCTATTCAAGTTTTGTATTTCTCAATTAAAAGACTGTTTACTTGCATTACTGCATGACTGAAGTGTTTTTGCCAAGCTGTGAAAAGCTGACACCTGTAATGACATGCATCATTTCAAGGTCTGAACTGCACTTCTGAATGTAGATAAATATTACAATTCTGCCTTTGGAATTCTACAGAATCCAGGCAGTAGAAGAGGACTCTGCATGATGGCAGTGAATATGTAGCTTTTTCCATTTCCTTTGATAATAGAGTCCTAGCTGGATTGGTTTTTATAACCACCATGGATTAATCAATTTTCAGTGGCCTGAAATTTCTCCTATTAGTAATGCCTTACAGAATAAAATAAAAGGGCATGAATTACATGTATTCTGAGCCTGATCTCTGCTCTCTTGTATGACAACCTGTTTTTTCCAAGTCACGTTTACTACCCTTAAGAAAAAGAGTATTTTAGACATCATTAACTGCATCCGTCCATGGTGATGTCATATATAACTGAGTGGGGCATTGCTTTCAGTTCTTCAGATCCAGAATTTTTTTTGAAATGCTACATTCACCTACACAAGAGGTAATCTACATTGTTTAAGTTCAAATTTGTAAAACAATAATTATAGTGCTAAATAAAATCTTTGCGGATCTTAAAACTTTATTTTACAGTTATTAAATCTGTATTCCCCCCTGTTTCTTACAGGCTGCACATGAGACTTGTAGGAAATTCTTACACGAAGAGAAAGATGAAAGAGTAATTATGGTGGCTGATCCCCCATTTGGAGGTTTAGTGGAAGCACTGGCTTCTAGTTTTAAAAAACTGATGGCAATGTGGAAGGATACAGAAAAAGGAGGCATGTATTACAAATAGGTGAATTAAGCTGTAAAGTTACTGTAAGAAAAGGTACCTGTTCAAGTCTGTAATTATTGCTACTTGAGTGAATGTTAACAAATGCATAATTTCTAAGATGAAGTACCATGTACTGAAGTCTCCCTTAAGTGTGGATTTGTAAAAATAAGCTTTGCAATTGAAGTGGACTTTAAGGGTCGAGAAAAATAACCAATTAAAACACAACACCACTTCTTAGCTACCGAGGCAGGTGACAGGACTTGTTTGGGGTAAGTGGAACTTACAGCCCAGCATATATAAATACACCAAAAACTTCCTTTCCCCTAAAGGAACCAGTTATTATGCTTAGTGGAGTGTGCATATGCATGCTTATGGATTCAGAACATTTGCTGTCAATTTTTCATGCTTCACATACATTGTTTTTCTTTAATGTACATCCAAGCCTTTTTATCACTAGGTAATAAGAACCAAGAGATGCCCATGTTCTGGATATTTCCATACTTCTTTGAATCCCGTATTCTTGAATTTTTCCCAAGCTTCAGTATGATGGATTATCAGGTATGACCAAGCCCAGTGACTTTGCTGAATTTTGGTTGAGTGCAGAGTGGGCAGGAAATATAAATGGAAGTGGATATAATGGCAGTACTTATTTTGGATGGGCCTTTTTGCATTTCTCACTGTCTTGGAGGTGCTGCAAACTATGTGATGCTCATTTGGTGAAGTCATGCCTTGGATTTGAAAACATTATCACACGCTCCTGTGCTTCATTATACACCTTAAGCCTTCTGTCACCAGTCCGTTATCTCAATTCTTTTGAAATGTTTTCAAGGGATACATTTTGCACTAATTTAAGTACATGCATACTGCAGAAGTGAGAGGTAGCTTGAAGAATGTTTCGTTTTGTGCAGATGTTGAAATGTCGGTAGCTCGGTGGGTATGACGTGGGTGTTCAAGACAATATATCTTGTAGAATGAAAATTAGTAGAAGAAAATTGGAAGCGGATGCTAGTCTAGGCTGTATTCCTGCTAGTATTCAGAGATGAGAATTTTGGGGGCAAGTCTTAGGAAGCATTGCTGGAAACAAGCATTGCTGATGGAGTTTGCAGCTTTGTAATTGTTTTGAGGTAGTTTGGGATGCACATCAGCTCTTGTTCTGTCAGACAACACAAACAGTATAGTTTTGTTTTTTTATCACAGGTTGTGTTTTTGTTAAACAACCCCTCCTTAGTGTCAAACAACTGAAACATTATCCCAGATATCCCATACAGAAGAGTAAAAAGGAAGAAGTAAAATAGGATAGTTGAAGTGTACTATGGCTTCAAAAATTTAAAAGGAATTGAGACAAAATACCTGGTGTAGAATTTATAATCTAATTCAGGGTTCGCATCTTCCAGATCTAAAGAACAATTTCGTAAGACACACATAAAGAGAACAGACATGCAAATAGTTCTGTTTTTCCTTAATACTTTTTTATAAAAACTGTTCTTTTTTCTAGGTAGATTATGATAATCATGCACTATATAAACATGGCAAAACGGGTCGCAGACAATCCCCTGTCCGTATCTTCACAAATCTGTCCCCAGGTGTGATTGTACTTCCTGCAGAAGAGGGCTACAGGTAAGGTGTGCTAATAGTCAAGGGAGTGACTGAAAGAGTGCCTTTGTTCTTAGTGCATGAAGGCTTTAAAGGACTTTGGGACGTGCTGCTTAGTATTGTTGTGCCTAACTTTTGGATACCAGGTTCAAGAGCACATTTCACTGTTGTAGTCTAAGGTTACATATTCTATAAGTAATATGAAGGGGAGTCGAGCATTTATTTCTGTTTGTTTCTGTTTTGGAATGATGGGGTTCCTCAGCTAAGCTGTATGAACTATGCACGTCCGTGGGCGATGGAGATTTACAGCTATCCTAAATAATCAGCCTGGTTGAGATAGTAGTTAATAATATGAGCACTAAGAAGCATCAGGAGCAAATGGATTTTACTGATAAAACTCATTTAGCAGAATTTGGTTTGGTTTGGTTTTTTTGCTTTTTCTATTTTGAATTCATGCACCTGGATTTTTACTATTGTGTAAATGATACTATGTGTATCGTGTCTAAACGATGATGAAGCTGTGGGCCAAAGTGGAAGTTAATGAATCAAAAACATATTTAATTTAGTGATTTTTTCAATCCCTGTATTTACTGTAGAACCTGCATAGATTTCACTCATGTTGCTTTTTGAGCAAATACTGGATAAAACAGGATTTTATTTCTTCCAGGTTTTGTGCTATCTGTCAGCGCTACGTTAGTTCTGGCAACCACCACTGTGAAATATGCAATTCATGTACATCAAAAGTAAGCATTTTGCCTTTTTCCTAGGTCACAATATTAGCAGCAATCTTCTTTCAAGTGACAGTAGTCTTAATAGATTCTATGATATTTGCTCTGATTTTTTTTTTTTTAAAAAAAAAAAAGCTATTTTGATATTGGTTTCTTTGGGAAACCCCAGACAATTCAATTTGGTTGTCTTCTTCACTGGACGTCATAACTTAATGGGAATTAATTTCTATTTCCTGATTCCTTTGCTCTGTACAAAGGACTGGAAAAGTTATCTACTTGTCACTTTGACCATCCTGCATCACTGGTCTGTTTACACGTTCATTTCTCCTTATGTGTTGGAAGTTGTAGGGCACACTAACTTCCAAATGTAGCCGTTTTACTGTGATTGATGCAGATTGTCAGCACTACTGTTTTTAAGTGTGGTCCTTTCTCCACAGGACCTGTTTCCGTAAATAGTGGGTAACAAACACGAGTAGTTCAGTTTTAGGAGCTAATCAGTGTTTTTTAAAAACAGTGCATTTATTCATCTATTAATTGCAGGATGGCAGACGATGGAAGCATTGTGTTCTTTGCAAGAAATGTGTGAAACCCTGTAAGTACAGAAAAATACTTACCTAAATAAAAGTACAATGAAACGGTAGTCTGAAGATACTGAGCTGACAGACCAGATAAATAAATATTCTGGAAAATAAATAAAATGGGATCACGCAGAAGACGTGGAGTAAAGTCTCAGTTTCACATTAGTTGTTGTAAGAAACTTAGTTATCATATTTGCACATAGTGGAAATATACGTAAGTTCTTGTCAGGGCTAAATCTTACTTATAATTTTAAAGGGAAAATCTGTATTTTGATTTGCTATATAAATGTTTCCTGATTTTGTAAAGCTTTTAGTAAGAATCACAGAATCATAGAATTGTGGGGGTTGGAAGGGACCTCCAGAGATCATCGAGTCCAACCCCCCTGCCAAAGCAGGTTCCCTACAGCAGGTCGCACAGGTAGGCATCCAGGCAGGTCTTGAACATCTCCAGAGAAGGAGACTCCACCACCTCCCTGGGCAGCCTGTTCCAGTGCTCCGTCACCCTCACCACAAAGAAGTTCTTGCGCACGTTTGTGCGGAACTTCCTGTGCTGCAGTTTCCAGCCGTTTCCCCTTGTCCTGTCTCCACTCACCACTGAAAACTTATAACTTATAAAGAACTTTATAAACAGAGACAATTGTGAAAATGTTTCTAAGAGCATTATTAAGTTATGTTTCATACACAAATGCAGTTGTATTTACAGCTGTGTTTAAACAGCTGGAGCAATCAATCTTGGTGTTGATATAGAAATTACATCTTTGTAAATCCATTTTAACATATGGGCTATTTTTCATGTTAAGATGCCATGCAGGATAATAGTTATAATAGCAAAATAATATATAATAGCAAAATAATTCAATTGTATTTAAATAGTATCTCTAACAAATATTTATCAAATAAGATAAAGGACCAAAAACTGAATGCACACATCTCTGAAAATGTAAAAAAAATAAAATAAAATAAAAATCCTGGTAAAACAGCCTGTATTTAGAATTCAACTTCAGGATGGTAATTCTGAACCTTCTGAAGATCATAAAACCGTGTTGCTTATTTTGCAGCTTGGTTTCACTGTAACAAATGCAACTGCTGTGCTCTGGAAAACCACACGTGTGAGAAGATTGATGTGGGCTGCTTTGTTTGTGGCAAGGCAGGTCACAAGCGCAGCTCCTGTCCCAGCCTCTCCTGCACCAGAGCATCTCACCAGTAGGTGCAATACTGCCTTATTGTAATGAAAGAGGTTTCAGATGAAAAGTGATTTTATTTCATGGAAATGCTTTAGGAAGAAATAATTTTAGGCTTTGTGTGCTGTCATCTTAAACTGTTGTCCACTTGCTGTGTTGCTGGAGAGTGCATACAAAAGGAGGATATGATAAAACCTAGCGTTGCTGAGGTAGGTATCTTCCTCTGGTTCCCCCTTCCTTAAATGTGTTTTCTTTCCAAGTGGATTCACACAGATCTCACAGAACTTTCTGAGTGGTGCATTGGTAGCACTGTCAAGAAGATGCTAAATTAAAGTAAAGTAATATAATACTTAAATCCCCTTCAGATTCCTCACAGAAGGGCAGAGTATATAGCTGCTGCACTGTTTTCATCGCTTCTTGTCTCCTTTGCTTTGTTTTCAAATCTTTCTTTTTTTCCATCTGGTATTTCAGGTGTTCTCTGCAATAGTGTCTAAATCTGTACCATATAACAACTTTATTAATGAGAGCACATTACGTTTATGCTGCCATGACTATAATTCTTTAACATACACAAACACATACGTGTATTTATCAAAAGACAAAAAGTGCATGTGATGGTCTTCAGATAAAACTAACTGAAAAAAAGGGAAGGGAATGTTGAAGATGGTCCAGTGAGAGAGTTGGCAGTTTAGGATAGCTGCCCCATGCTTCTGACAGCCCCTGCAGAGAGTGTTTTGGTTTTGTTCGTGATTCTCACCTTAAATGCATGTGACACTGGAAATGCAGATCTTCCCTCCCAAAAGATGCCCTGTGTTGCACAGTGACATTCAGTCGGCCTCTAGGTTAGCAGCAAGCTCAATGGCAGTAGACTACAGGAGTGTTACTTCATGCCCTGCTATGACATTCATCCAAATTTTGCTTACAGAGTATTTGAGCTGAAGTGTGGCTGTACTTTATATTTAGCATATTTATATGTAGCAGCACTTCATTTTCTTGAAAAAGTGAAAGTGGTACTAAAAGAAGTTCAAGCAACCTCATCTGTTTCTTCAGGCAGGTATACATTGTGCTGGGATGGTTTAGTCCTTTCAGGCCATCAGTATGATGTTAATGAACTACTGAAAATAACTTAGGCTTATTTTCCTAGTAAAAATATATAGATATGTTTTCTTTATTAAAATTATTCCATGCTTTGTACTATTAAATACATCCTTTGTCAGAGACAAAAAATAATAGCCACTTGCTAACTCTGTGTGGGTCCTGTGTTTTTATTTCATAATGTTGTTAAACCTCACCTACTTTCTTCTAAGCCCATCTTCAATATATTCATGTAGAACACACTCAGCACAAAAATCCACATGTGCTGTTTTGCACTTGGGGGCATGCAAAGGTAAATGCTGAGTAAGAACTGAAAAATTTTAGAATAGTCCATGTCAGAACATCCTAAGATGGCAAATCCTGGGACAGTACTTGTCAGGTGTATGCACAACTCGTATGAAATACCAGCAAACACCGAAGTCCAGTCACCATTTTATTATAATCTCTATGTTCTTTCTTTACAGAGCTGGCAAAGGCAGAAGACAAAAGCAGAAAACCCTAAAACCTCTAAAGAGGGCAAAGTTGGGAGTTTGTAAAAGATGGGCCACGAAGCGCACCATATTCTCCAGGAGGAAAATGAAGAAGAAGAAAAAAGACAAGACTACTTGATACAAGATCATTCAAGACGTTTTTTTCTTCAGAATAAAAGCTGCTCTAATTTAAAGTGAGTCCTTTATATTAGGCATCGTTACAGAAACGAACATGCAAACGCCTCACCGCGTATTCGCACAACGCGACCACTCCATACGACCCCGTTGCGCTCCGCCCCGGAGCAGGAAGCGGCACCTCCGGAAGCCGGCAGCGGAGGGCGGGAGGCGGCGCGGCGGAGGAGCCCAGCGAGCGGGAGGCTGCCGCCATGCCCGCTTTCCGGCAGGTCGGTGAGAAGCAGCTGCCGCAGGAGGTCGTCGTCATGGCGTGGTCCCCCAAGAGGGACCTCATCGCTCTGGCCAACAGGGCGGGAGAGGTGAGCGCGGCGCTGGGAGGCGGGGCAGCCGGCCGTCCCTGCCGTGCGCCGCAGTGAGGGCTCAGCGCCGCGCTGCCCGCGGGGCCGGCAGGGAGAGCGGACGGCGGGAGCGGTGCGGGCTGCGGCGTAGTTCCGTTCAAGTCGCAGCAGCGTTTTATCGAGCTTTCTAACATTGTCACTCGCTCCAGTTTTAGTTTCCATACTGATTTATGGCATCGTGGAATGATTCAGGTTGCAAAGCAACTTAAAATCTGTCCAGTTCCACAGGGTTCTCCCCCAGCAGCTCGGGCTGCCCGGGGCACATCCAGCCTGGCCTTGAACACCTCCAAGGGTTGAGCACCCACAGCGTCTCTGGGCAGCCCGAGCCGGTGCCTCAGCACCTCCAAGGGAAACATTTCTGCCTGAAATCTGACCGAAATCTCCCGTTTTACTTTAAAGCTGTTACCCCTGTCTTATCACTACGCTCTTTTGAGTCCCTTCCCATCTTTTTGTTGGCCAGTACAGGTCGGTTTCAGTGAGGTTTCCCCATAGCCTTCTCCAGGCTGAACATGCAGAGTTCCTTCAGCCTTTCTTCACAGGAGAGGAGGTGCTCCAGCCCTCTGGTCGACTGTGTGGCCCTCCTCTGGACCTGCTCCAGCAGTTCTGTGCCTTTATTGTGCTTAAGCTCTGTGGGGCTGAGCAGAGGGATAAGCCCCTCCTTCTTCCTGCTGCCACCCCTCTGTTAATGAAGCTTGGGGTACAATTGACATTCTGGGCTGCAAGTGTGTGCTGGCTGGTCCAGCTTTTCATCCATTATCACCCAGATCCTTCTCTGCAGGACTGCTCTCAAGTTCTTCCAGTCTGTATGCATACCTGGGATTGTTGTGACCCAAGTGCAGCACCCTGCACTTGGCCTTATTGAGTTCACTAATGATATTCTCATTGCCTGTGTCAATGATATTCTAAAACTTCATAGCTTTTTCCTTCCCAGAATTGCTGCATGTGATCATGCATACTGAAAGACTTGTACTTTCAGGCTGTCCTTGCTGGAGAGGTGTGGGTAACCCCTCTTGGTTACAGGCTTTTAGGTTTATGCAAGGCAAAGTTTGTTCCTCTGTATTGCTCTACAGTAAGCAATGTGGTGGTCTCTTAAACCGTGTAGGAGTGGAATGTCTGCTAGGAGAAGGAGTTATTAAATAATAGTAGAAGTTACTAAAGAATTGTGAGAAATTGCATCTTGAATTGATTTATGATGATTTTAATGGTTTTATTTAAAACACTGTTTTTATTTTTCTGTCTTAAATGCGTTTGCTTTGTAGGTTTTACTTCATCGGCTTGCAAACTTTCAACGAGTTTGGAGTTTGCCTCCAAATGAAAATACAGGAAAAGAAGTGACAGCTCTTGCTTGGAGGCCAGATGGCAAAAGTAATATCAAGTATATGCTATGACTTACTGCAAAGCAGTCCTACTGGAAGTCAGTGAAGTGATGTGTGATGATGTGGTGATGATACCTTCTGTCTGGGAAGGAAACTTTAAGTAGACTGTATTTGAAGAAAAGGATGGGTTAACTATATGTATGTTTATTAAAAATAATTGGGAAAGTTGCACTGTTGAAAGCAATTGCAAGAAATAATTACAAGGTGAACTTATACCCAAAACACTGCTTTTCAAGTTGTAGCAAAGTTTCCTGTTCTTAACTAAGCAGAATATTTTTGTATGAAATACAGAATTTACCTGAAGAATAGAAAGAAGTTGTCTGAACAGGACTGTGTTAGAAGTGCTTGCGTTTGATTCAGCATGTAAATACACAATTGTGGGTTTGGGCTTTTGACTTAAACATATCACTTAAAACTATGATGGGACCAAGAACCCGCATTGTAATATGCAGGTTTCAAGTGAGAATTGGGAAGTAGTGGAAATGGGCAAAGGGAAAATGCAGTGTAGTGATTGACTGTGAAGGTGCATTGCTTTCTAGTTCAGTATAAAGTACAAAGTTTTGCATATTGGTTATTTATACGTTTTACTCATCTTTTTCTAGTTTTGGCCTTTGGCCTTAGTGATACCAAGCGGATTATTCTGTGTGATGTAGAAAGGCCTGAAAGCTTGCACTCCTTCTCAGTGAACTTGTCTATTACTTATATGCATTGGATGGAAGTAACTGCAGAGAGCAGGTGGGTCTGAAAAACAGCAAGTAAATTATGGGCTATGTGGCACTAACTTATTAATTATGTATGTTTTGCATGTAATAGGAAGTAAAAATAATATTTTTTAATATTTTGGAATTGTGTTGTCTTTCTGCTTTATCTTAACCACAGGGGAAATTTTAGCAGGCACTTCTCATGTGCTTCTTTCCAGTGCTGAAATCTTAGTCTCGTGGTTCTTTAGGTTATTAGGCACAATATTTCAGCATTTAAATGTTAACTTGTGCATCCTATCTTCTGATCCAGCTAACTTTGATACCGAGTAATTGTAATAATGTTGTTGTGATCATCTATTTTGTTAGAAAACGTTTTATAGTTAAATCTTTCTTCACTTGTGCTTTCAAGACCTTCAGTTTGGCATTTATATCTTTTCTCAGCCTTAATTTGATATGGCACCTGAATGTGCTGACATTCTGCCATGGGAGCGCTTGCATTAGGAAATCAGATTTCTTGCAGAGACTGTGAGCTCTGACACAGAATTCTCAGTCACGTTTGTGAGGCTGGGGGATGTTGTGGTCCCTCCTTCTGTGGTCTTACAAGGACCTGTGATAGGCAGTCCAAGATAGTAACTAAAACGTTTATTTAAAAATGAGCGGTTGGGTAAGTCTGGCAGGTACTTGCCAATACGTTTCCCCAAAATGGAAATCTTAAAATATCAAGAAAACCACTGTATTATAAGTAACTCTAGCATTCCTCTGATGGGGACGGACATGTAGGGAATCTAACCTCCAGGCACGTGTAAAGTGTGCTATTAAAGACTGTAGTTGGCTCTTCTTCATACTGTAACACATGTCTTTGTAGTGAAGCTTTGCTGAGGTGCAGGTAGGTGAGCTGCAGGGTTGTATAGATTTTAAAGAGAAAGCCTCCATTGGTGACTGTACCACAGATAATGGGCAATTCAGTAGCAAGTTACTGGGCCAGCAAATACAGACTTTACTTGGTGGAAATAACCATAAAGATTATCAGGTTTCTTTTATTAATTTAGTTTTTAGATATATTTAAGATTACTATCTGATATTTGTATCCATTTTATGTACATGACATGTTGAGTGTGTGCCAGTAACTTCAAAGTCAGTAATTTTCTTTTCCTCTATTTTAACAGTTTGAGTAGCTAAGACAATGTCATTTCTTTTTCAGCATTCTCACTTCCTTCTACAATGCAGAGGATGAGGCAAATGTCATTTTGCCTAAATTACCAGCACTACCAAAAAAGTAAGTGTTAAACTAGAAAGCCTGGGAAGACTTGCACTAATTGTTGTTTTTGTTATGTCTTCACTACTCTACTGGTGCTTTCAGTTAGATGCCTGCCTAATTCAACTTCATTGTTTTTTTTCTTTTTCAGTTATAGTACCACTGCGAAAATTTTCAGGTAAGGAAGTGACTTTTTTTTTAGTTTCTTTTTAGAGTTTTACATGATTTGTTGTTGGTTTTTTTTGTTTTTTTGTTTTTTAGGGGGTTTCATAGAATCATAGAATGGCCTGGGTTGAAAAGGACCACAATTATCATCCCCCAACCCCTGCTATGTGCAGGGTCGCCAACCACCAGACCAGGCTGCCCAGAGCCACATCCAGCCTGGCCTTGAAAGCCTCCAGGGATGGGGCATCCACAACCTCCTTGGGCAACCTGTTCCACTGTGTCACCACCCTCTAAGTTTCTTTCTTTGTTTTCTGCTATTGAGACAAAGGAGCTAAAAAGCATCCATATCTTTTATATTTTCAGTGAAGAAAAGTCAGATGAGATTATGAAGCTTCTGGGTGATGTGAGGTAAATTCTGTTTGTGTGTTGTTCTTTTGTTTCCTTATTTTTTGGCTTTAAAATAACAAAGAGGCTTACTTTAAAGTTATTCATAATCTGTTTTAATGGTTCTAGAGAAAGTGTGCAATGTTTCCTTTTTTTCGTATATGAAGATAAAGTTCACTGAATACACTAAAAAAAAATTTTTATGTCTCCATCAGTTTACATCTTTTCCCCTTGGCTTAAAGGGATTGTCAGGCACCTTACAATCTACTGCTGCTGGTTTTATATCTTCTTTTCCTTGGAAGATTTCTTGAGTCAGGCTTAAAGGCTATCTTGTATGGATTACTTAAGCTGGTCTCAGAGGCACCATGAATGCTTTAAAATAAGCATCTCATATTAGGAAACATGAAGAGCACCTGGAGGATATATAGTCTAGAAGACTGAGAGTGGTTTGTGACACAGCAGGCAATCTCCCTGTGCAAAGTGTGATGTTTCAAATATAGACAAAAACTGAGAGATCATAGAAAAGCATTTTTTCAAGTCATTGTATAGCAAAGTTGATTTTGGTAAGTGATCAGAAGAACACAGATCTGTTTCTCCCTGATCCTACTTTTTTAAACAGGGTTTCTGTCTCTTTTGCTGTTGTTGTCTGTGGCTGTTCTTCGCTGCTGTATCTTTTGTTTTTATTTCTGCTGAGGTTTTACTGAGGAGGCCCACCGAGTGACAGTGACAGACTTAACTCGGCATGTAATTAGGATAAATACAGGGGAAATGAAAAAGTAGCTTTGTAAGAATGCTTTGCAGCCTGTACTGGTAGGTGGGCTGCTGCTGTAAACTGTTAGTTTTTTTCACAGGTCTCCAGTTAATGAGAAAGGACTTCTGTGCCTAAACTTGGTGTTAATTTTTTTTTCCTTCATTCAGCAGTTTGCTATATGATTTTTGTTTCCTGCAAGTGTTAGACCCAGTTCTCATCAATCAAGTCCAAGCTACTAATATTTTTCATTTAGTTTTTAAATTTCTTGGATTGTAGGCGGCAGCACAGTATTTGTTTTAGTGGTTTTCTAGAGAATCTTTTAGTAAAAGGAATGGAAATTAAGAATTATTTTTATCTGCATTAAAAACTGACTTCAGATAGTTTAGGAAAAAAAGTTGTCAGTTTATTTTCATGTGCTCATCAGCACGTGTTCTTCTGTTCTTATAGGCTTAATGCTCTTGTCCTTGGTGGCAGCTCAGGGTTTATTGAAATTTATGCTTATGGAATGTTCAAGATTGCTACAGTAACTGGGGTATGTTTATTTCTGTATTTTTTTTTCTTCAGTGTATACCAAAATACAGCTGAATTGAATGAAATAATGCATCTGTGGGTTTATGTGTAACTGAAACTGGATTGCTGAAATTTTACAGAAAGGAAAAACTATTTCTTTGGATAGGGTTGTGTGGTTATTGCTGGAAAGACATTCCAACTTAACTGGTGATTTTAATGTTTTGTTTGAAAAGAAACTGAGCTCAGTGCTAATCCATGGTGAAAGGGGTAAATATTTTCTTGAACAAAATTCCCCTTGGTTTTTAAATGTCATTGAACACAACCTGCTTTGCATGTGAATGTGTTACAACAGTGAATACGTACGGAAAAAATTCAATATTTCATTAACATTTAAACTGGAATCCTTCAGGTGGCAGGTTCTTGTCGTGGACTCTGTTTATCCAGTGACCTGAAATCACTATCGGTTATTACAGAAATACAAGACTCTCCTGACAGTGAAGCAGAGATAACTTATTTTCAGGCAAGTAAAGTAATTTTAAAATGTTCTTTCTTTTATTTACTCTCACCTAACTTTATCACCTTCCTGTTATTTGTAGGAAAAACCTGCAACGATTGTTCTCAGCCTTTCTGAAGTGCACCCTGGCTTAGCTTTTGGATTTGTCGCATTGGCTTGCAGTCTCACAGCTGAGACTGACTGTAATGCTCTGAGGCGTTCTGAGAAAATATTACTTCAAATATAACATTTATTCAATTACAGTTACTCCGTTTGTCTTCATTCTGAACACAAAGGTGTAGCAGCCGTGCTGTTCATCATCCATTCTACCCAGAACAGTCATCCTGCAAACTGTTACTGTTAGAACTCCAAAATTAGAACCATTCTCAAGAGCTTTTATTGATAGATTAAAATACTAATTGCCCTGTTTTCTTCTTAAAGTCAACTTAAAGAAAATGAGAAATAGTAAGTTTCTCTGTGGGTCTTCTCCATGTGTGTTTTTATTTCAGTAGCCCGAAACTGTTTAAAAAACAAATGATCTGTTAACTGTTCTGTTTGTTATAGCTGGACACCAGTCTGTTATCAAGTTATTTACCTGAGGTAACTCGAATGGCCCGGAAGTTTACTCACATTTCAACACTGTTACAGGTATGGTTTTGTTATGACATCTTAATATCTCAAGTCCTAGAGCCTTCTATATTCTTACAGGAAGTAAAATTTTCCTAGTGGGAAACTTCTGTTGGTTTTAAGTAAATGTGGAGCTCTAGCTTGAAAAGTTGATTAGAAATTTCATATGATGCCTGTAATATATATCTTCCCTTTGTGTTACAACATCCAGTTATTTAATATGTATTGAAGGAGAAAAAAGGGAGTAAGGCTAATCTTAGTGTCTGTATTGCAGTATATAAACTTGTCATTGACGTGCATGTGTGAAGCATGGGAAGAAATACTGATGCAGATGGACTCACGGCTAACAAAATTTGTACAGGTATTGTAGTATGAACTGCTCTTTTCTGTAGTAGGCCTGCTGTTCATGTTAACTACACAGTACATTATCTTAGTGCTGTTTATGTAAGGCCTCCAGCAAACAGTCTCTAAGTTCAGAGGCAAACTGCTGTGATGCTGCAGATATCTGAGCACAGTCAGGTGTGATTGCATTGTGATACTCCTTTATTTTGTTTACTCCTTACTATTTGAAAGTGATATTTTTCAGCTTGCACAGCTATTGAACAATTGCTTTCTGTTTAAGGTTGTGTTCTTTCTACTTCAGTCACTGATGAACTGTCTACTGTAAATGTTGAGCAGCAGCCCATCACCATTTGCAGCTTAACTCAATAGAGCATATATATCAGATCATATATTTGCATATATTTTGTGTGCGTGGCTGGCAGTTAATTGAATCAAGTAATTAATGTATTTATTTTTAACATAGATTCTTGATGATGGAAAGTGCTTAGAATTTTTACTGAGTATTACAACTGAAAATAATTGAAAATACTGACCTTGAATCATTGAATTGAATTGAATTTCAAAAGATCTGTAGACTGATTTCAGCATTCAAGAGTAAGGGTGGGTTTTATAATGTACTTTATTTGAGGTATCTGTGACGTTATTTGGTAGGCTGAATGTAACCTCTTTACCAATCTATTTCAATCATTTTGGCTGACAGGAAAAGAATACAACCACTTCTGTTCAGGATGAGTTTATGCAGCTGTTGTTATGGGGCAAAGCAAGGTAGCTACTGTTGTTTTATCTGAGTATGCATTTGCATTTGATACTAAAATACAAAATGAAAGCATGTTTGGTTTTCTCTTCCCTGTCCCTTTTTAGTCTGGAACTGCAGGCATTATTAATGAACCAACTGACAGTAAAGGTACGTTCATATTATTTAACATCTTAGAATTATACATTTCAGTATCTTTTAATCGCTGTGCATTTACATTAAGAAAGCATTATTATGTGTTTATATTTCTTTTTTAACAGGGCTTAAAAAAGCTCGGTCAGTCCATAGAGTCCTCCTATTCCAGTATACAAAAATTGGTTATAAGTCATTTGCAGAGGTACGTCATAAAATGTCCAATAAATTTTAGATTAAGTGGCATATTATGTACTGTGCTAAAAGATGGGGTGCAGTATCAGTGGTTCTTTATATATAGTTTTTTTGTATGGTATGTGGTAATACACCATGTACTAATTTACTCGTGGGTGATGGAGAGCTCGTATTTTGAGCAGTCTCCGTGGTGTATAAGCTAAATATCACTGCTTGGTATTTTTATAGGAAATGTTCTCCATCATTGTGTGGTGGTTAAGATTATAAAGACAATATTTGCTTTTCTGCAAATACTTTCTTAGCTCTTACATTCCAGGTGATTTTATAAAGTTCTCCACTTTGCCCGTTATAAGATCAAAATCTGGTGCACCATGAAGCACAGTTATCAAATGGGGACTAAAAGATTGGTTCTTTGCTTTACTCTCCTAGTGGCTCAGAAGCACTCTTATACTACTTAAGTGAGTTGAAAGGAATGGCTTTATGGAAACAAAAATACGAGTCTCTGGGATTAGATGCATCTGGAATTGAAGGTACAGTAGTGTGTGTCCTACTTGACCACATTTATTGCACTTTTGCAAGCATGATATCAATGGCTTGCTCTCTTGACAGAGGCTACTACTGCTGTTGGTTCTTTCATCCTGAAAGCAAATGAGCTGCTTCAGTAAGTATAAAGTCTGAGGAATTTTAAAAACTTGGCTTTTGAGAAAGCATGTGGCCTGGGAGTAAGGAAAGATGGCAGGGTGTGGCTTCTCTGTTGGTGATGAGCTCTTGTCTTGCTGCACCTCATAGGCTTGTATGCCAACAAGAGTCTTAGAGGGAGGGATGCATTTGGCATTTTTAAGAAGTTGATAATACTTACATATCTGTCTGTAACAGAAATAGAACTCAAACCTGCAACAGCTTGTGACATCTGGTAATTTGTTGTTACTGATTGTTTCTTCTGCAGAGTTATTGACAGTAGTATGAAAAACTTCAAAGCATTTTTTCGATGGCTGTACGTTGGTAAGCTTGATGATGTAGTAAATATTTGGTATCTGTTTTGTAAATGCCAAAATGCCAACAATTAATTATGCCAGTCTTAGTTATATCCATCTGTTTATTACTGCCATAGATATTTTCTGCAGTTTAGTAGGGTAAGTGAAGCTTAATTTCAGTCCCAGTTCATAATTGTTCTTTACAGACTCTTCAGCTTCTGACAAATTAATCCTTCTTATGTTATTGACAATGTCATATTATATAGCAATGAAAAATTAGGAATATTAAGAAAAAGATAAACACTAGTATCTTTTTTTTTCTCCTCAGCTATGTTGAGGATGTCAGAAGATCATGTGCTTCCAGAGCTGAACAAGGTAGTAATAACATTTTCTCATTAATGGTGGTATATTTTCTTTTCTGCTTGACTTACAGAGCAAGATTAAAAATGTATTTTTTGTTCCAAAACTTAAAGGATGTGCCTGTGACGTTTCTTTGGGAAAGCTGATGCCTGCACATTCACACTAACACCTCAGTGTACTGTCTTGCATATATAACTTTTACTGTTTTCTTTTAATAGTGCAGCACATATGAGCCTAGTTCTCTATGAAATATGCGTATGGTGACTCTTTACATGCCCTAGATGATGAAGTTAATAGGAATCAGATTTTAACATCTTTACCTGAGAGAAGAAATAAATAACACCTGCGTCTGATCTGCAGTCACCACCACAATGGGTGCATCAGCTGATGTGCTTTAGAGCAGATGGAGATATCCAAAGGGAAATAGGCTGCAAGAATGAACCGATAGGGACCTCCTGAATTTCAGCAGGAACAAATACAAAATTACTCCCAGGGAAGAATCTGCAGCAGCACAGCCCTGGTTAGCTGGGGAGGAGGTCAGCCTGTGGATGTTGGTGGAAGCAAACTGGGCATGAGCCAGCAGTGGGCTCTGGCAACAAAGGGCAGTGTAGAGGAGCCAGGGTTATTCTAACAGGATTATGGCCAAGAGAAATGATAACCTTCCTTACTTAGGACTAGTCAGACCATTTTTGGAATACCTTCTCCAGTTTGAGGCCCTTCTGTATGAGACAAATATGAATAAACTGGTGCGATTTCAGCAGAGGGTCTGCAAGCTGGCAAAGGGTTTCAGTACTTGTCCTGTGAGCAACAATGAATTGGCCTTGTTCAGCCTCTAGAATGTTCATTCTGTGCTCATTTAGGTATAATTCTCAAACTTTGTTTCTCCTTGCTCCATTTTTTTATGTTTTTTGTTTTAGATGACTCAAAAAGATATCACGTTTGTTGCGGATTTTCTTACTGAGCACTTCAATGAGGTAAGTAATCCTAATTTATTGAGTACAGCAGTGGTACTTGGTTACTGTGTTTTTGCTGCTAGTAATTGAATAGGAACAATTTTAAGTAAAATAATTCCATCATCTTTTTGTGCCTTTTTTCCTAGTCAGTTTGGGTTTCAATTTTGGTTTTGTTTGCATTGTTATTATTTTTTTTTCCAGGCACCAGAACTTTACAATCGCAAAGGAAAATACTTCAATGTGGAGAGGGTTGGCCAGGTAAAGAACTAGAGAATATATGGAAGGAGGGAGTAAGAGAGAAAATCATGAGAAAGCTTTTAAAGTTGTGCCCATTTTTCTTCTCTATCCCTTCTGCTATGTGTTGTGCATTCCAGTCACAGTAAAAGGAAGTTATTGTCAATATTTTCTTTGTTATTAGAAAAAGAAAATATTAGAACATTTTATAGTTTTCCTTACATATGCAGTATTTTAGGAAAAGGGTGAAATGTGTTTGCAGCCAGCAGTAGTAGTGTAAAATTAAAATCTGCACATTGTCTTTATGTTGTTACTCACTGGATTTCTAAATGTTTGTGTTCAAGTATTGTTTGAAAATCAGTTCCACATGGAAGTGGTACTGTATGATATTAAACAATAGTTGATTTCTTATTTATTTCTAGGAGGAGTGGAATGTTATATTTTAAATGTAGACATGTTATGTTTAGAAGGAACTAAACTTGTTTAACTTGTGAGAGAGAGTGTAGGGCTTGGACTAGATAATCTCCAGAAGTCCAGTGGAACCTTTGTAATTCTATGATTATATATTGTTGGAAGTGAATTCTAATGTTACTTATTTTTAATTTGCAGACTTATAAAATGTCTGTTTCTTATCTAGTACTTGAAAGATGAAGATGAAGACCTTGTTTCACCACCTAATACAGAAGGAAACCAGTGGTTTCACTTTCTCAAAAATAGTACTCATGTTAAAGGTAATGTGTGCTTGAGTAAAACTGAATCTGAGGTATGTGGAGAACTTAACATAAGAATAATCCTTTTTTTTTTTTTTTTTTTTTTTGTGATTAGAAGTTAGTTTCATGATGCTCATCTGGGCGGAATAATATAAATGGCCCTTAACTTCTCCTCTGAACCATGTGCTCTTGGCCTGTGAGCAGCTTACTGGCCCACTGTCACTCCACTGTCACTTCAGTATTGTCTATTTTTTTTATGGAGTTATAAGCATTTTTTTTTAAATGAGTTTTATGTGTTTGCAGAAAGTCCACTTTTGTTTCCCTACTATCCTGAGAAATCACTGCATTTTGTCAAAAGGCAAATGGAAGAGGTCATTGATCAGTGTTTACAAAAACCAGCTGTAAGTTCAGTTTATATAACTTTCTTCTAGATGGTGGCTTAGCAAGGCCTGAAATTTTAATTTCTACCTTTGAGTGCCTACAATGTAGCTGGCAGCATGCATTCCAGCTTAACCACTACTGAGTGTCTTAAACTCAATGGAGGATTTATTTTTTGTGTGTTCTGTGCATTCTGTTTACCCTGTGCATTGATGAGAGCTATTTTAACATTAAGTAACTTGGTATATGAATTACAGATCAGACAGCTGATTAGTTGATGGTATGTTAGTCTGTACCTTCTGAAGAAATACGAACTACGTGCGTTAAGTGACAGTGTTCGCATTAGAGATGGTTAGTTCAGTATAAATATTTGTGGACTTTTCTTTCAAACACACTTGGATTTTATTCTTTTTATGTATTTATTGATTTAGTTATCTTAAGAAGGAATATATCATGAATGGCTTGCTTTTTCTTTGCTCTTTTTATTATATTTGTTAGGATGTGATTGGAAAGTCAGTGCATCAAGCATTCTGTGTGTCTCTCTACAAGACTTCCCGTAGGTATGTTTTTAACATTTTTTCTGGAGTTCAGTTGCACAAAATTATAATAGTATTTTGTACACTCATTTTGTTTTTCCTTTTCAGTGAAGATTCCTCACCTCAGTTATTTAAATTGCCTTTTCTGTAAGTATGCTGTTATTTCTTGTTGTATGTCACTCACCTGTTCTTAAAATATGGTGTGACTTTTTCCTGTTTCCTCACCTAACATTACAGGTGGAATGACAAAACATCCAACATACATTATGTTCTCTTTACCATATTAGAAAGTTCTATTTCTAAAATACACATTTTGAGGAGACATACAGATACTTCCAGGTAAGAAAAAGGGGGGGAAGGAGAATGGTTTGTGAGACTTATTGTATGTATAGAGACAGTTGCAACTTGATTTTTTTTCTGCAAAGACAGAGATTGAAGGACTCTGAGCACAGTCCTTGTGGGGTACTAGAGAATTCATCAAAGTGGAAGGCATTGGGAGGTGCAGTGGGAAACTACAGTAGGAATTCATATTTTATTAAACTCCAAAAATCTGATTAAAACATCCAGGATGTTTGTAAGCTCAGGAGAAAAGAGTCAGGTTTCCTTCGTTTTGCTCCTCACAGAATTACTCTTTGTGAACTAAGAAAACTTGTAGAGAATCAGGCTTACAATGTTGATTTGTCTTGCTGAAAATACTGTTAACTCCTTATAGCCTGTGATTTAAAACACTAGGGAAAAATGGGATGGGTGGACAGCTGGGTTCAACAAATACATCTCTTTGGGATATCATTTTTGCACTTTTGGGAATTTCTCTACCTAAGGTGCAGTGCACTGACATGACCTAGGTGTGGAGAACAACAAAAGCTTCAACATAAAATAGTGATTTTTATAATGTATGTTGTTTAAATTGAGGAGATGATGAGCTATGACAGGGTGAGAATTTTTAGAACATTTTTACTGCTGGAGGGAACATGTGATGGAAATACCTTCTGTGTTTCCAATTGATTGCTTCTGAAGACAAAATTGTAGCCCTGTGGTATAGTTTCTATTGTATTTCCTTTCTCACTGGTATCTTCATAGAATCATAGAATGGCCTGGGTTGAAAAGGACCACAATGATCATCTAGTTTCAACCCCCCTGCTGTGTGCAGGTTTACCAGTCACCAGACCAGGCTGCCCAGAGCCACATCCAGCCTGGCCTTGAATGCCTTTAGGGATGGGGCATCCTCAACTTCCTTGGGCAACCTGTTCTAGTGCATCACCACCTCTGTGTGAAAAATTTCCTGATAAATCTTAGGTAGTACTGACTCATTTTCTGTAGATGCAAGTAATGAGTGACTTAATGGACTTGAAACTAGGACAGTTGGGCTGAGAGTTCAACGAAGAACTGTATCCCACAACCCAGAAGGACTTTCTCATTTGGCTCCTTCAGTCACATTTTGCTTGAGAGGCAAGAGAAATCAAAAGGTTTCCGTCCACTTGTTACATCATCTGGGGATGTAGTCATGTACTTTGTAAAGCAGATGGGCTTACACCATTCTGTACTGTAGTTGCCCTTTGAGATTTTGAATTTTCTACAGATGGAAAAAAAATGTCACCAAAATAGTGATTTCTGTCCTTCAGGTCTATCGGTAACGGAATTGTTGCAGTAGAGTTTGGAAACTTCTTGAACAACAGTATAAATGAGAGCTCAGACTCCAGGTCAGTATGTTGAGTTGATTCTTCTTCCAGGGATGCAGATTGTGAAATCGAAGACCATGTTTTTGAGTGTTCATTTTACTTGAAGTTAACTTCCCTAGCATTATGATTTGGCTTTTATATTCCGAATTAGCACTTCAAATGCTGCAGTAGCTTGTAGTTCCCAAGTGAGTCGGGCCGTAAGGCACGGTACAGGGGTGAAGGTGTAGGATTGTGGGAATCTTACCACAGAGCCATTTAGGCTTGCAAAGACTTTCAGTATCACAAAGTCCAATCATCAACCGGACGTACCGAGTCCCATCACTAAAACCTGTCCCTTAGTGCCATGACTGCACATCTCCTAAATCATCACGTGATACAGACTCCACCACTTCACCATTGCAAAGCTTCACCACCCTCTCCATGAAGAAATTCTTCCCGATGTCCACTTTAATCTCCCTGGTGCAGCTGGAGACTGTTGAGTTATTTTGCACTTAAGGTCAAGTAAGCATTTTAGTTTTCTGATCAAAAAGTTGAACTTTGGTACATGTGTAGAGTTAGTTGGAAACAACTTTTTCTTGTATCAATAATCTTGAAATAAGATAGAACGACATCTTACATTCCTGAAGGAAGGAATCTCAGAAGTCATGGCAGAGTAAGTTCATGCTTTTAATTTAGAAAGGCCCGAAGTGGTGCTGATGGCCCTCAACATCACCAACTGTTTCCTAATTTTCCTTGGTATTTGTGTTAATTGCTCTTTACATTTCAAAACATTAAGTTTTGTTCTTCAGTGTCATTTATGTTACAGGAGTTTTTAGCAGTCCTAAAGAGTCTCAGTTGCACAACTGACCTTTTCATTGTTTACAGTAAAACTCACTGTTAACTAATGAATACTACCTAACTTCAGTGCTGTGCAGTGTAGAAATATTTTTGTTGTGTGGTCACTTTTATTCCTTGTTGCTTCCTAATATATAGGTACTGGTTTATTTCTAATAGGTGCTACAGTTGTTTAGATGCACATTTTTATGATGATGAAACTGTAACTGTAGTTCTGAAGGAGAGCGTGGAACAAGAGGGGAAGGAGAGAATCTTGGCCCAGCTGCCTTTATCTTCAGTATACACAAATGAGGATCAAGAAGTGGAATTCATCTGGGATTCTACTAAAAGGTGGGAACAGGCAATATTAAAAACAAGTTCAAACCAGTCTTGGCCACTGTAACAGGGAATTGCATACAGCTCTTGTAAGTGGTAGTGAAGAGATACATTGATCAAAGGTCACAGAGGTCACTTCTGTGTAAGGGTAGACATTGCCTCCAGAGCTTTGTTCTTGCAAAGGAGGGATTTCAAGGAATGTCAACATCATCTTCCTGCCACAGCTGTTACCTGGGACAAGACAGGAATCATACAACTCCATTCTGTCCTGTTGTAATCTCTTGCAGCACTTGAAACGTGCTGTGTCTGCACAGTTTTATCCTCTCTTCTAAAGTATCTGGAGTATATGGAGTTATGATTTTAAATGCTTGTCTACTTGTTGCATATGGTGTAGTAAAATCTAGACACACAAAAAAACAAACAAACAAAAAAAAAACCTGGGACTGACTGGGATTTATTTTGATTTTAGTACTGAAATTTTCTTATGTTTTGTGCATCATTTCTTGCAGATTGGCTGAGCAAAGTGATGAGATAGCAACACGTACTGTCTTCTTGGACAACCAGTGGAGAGTGCTGGAGAACATGAAAGCTCAGTATGTTGCTGTAAATGGTATTAGAAAAGTTTCCTGTGTGGTAAGTACTTACCTGTGAATACATCGGGTGGAGGGGGAAGGAAATGTTCCATAGCTAGGGAGAAAGATAGTCTGTAAACCTCATAAAGTTAACAGAAATAAAAGTCTTGGTTATCATCATTTAATTTCTTACAAATTGATTATCTTCCCAGAATCTATTATCAATTTGTCAGAATACAGTCATGCTTGTCTCATTACATAACCTGGAAAAAATTTAATAGCAATTAATAGATAGACTTATTTTACTTTACAGTCTGCAGAGCAATAAAACAATTGCCAATTTCCACGGTACCTTCATTTTGAAGACAAAGGCTATTTTCAGAGCTGTTGGGCAATACATAAATTGGTATTTGTGTTCTTTTTTGATTACTTATTAATCAAGACTTCTTAATGTTTCCATAGCTAAGTTCAAATCTTCGTCATGTGAGAGTGTTTGAGATGGATGTAGAGGATGATGGAGAAGTTGAAGAAGAGGAGGAAGAAGAAACTACTCAGATAGCAGCTGGGGAACCTGAAGAGCTGAATTGCTCTGTGGATAACCAAGATAATGTGTGTGGTGCATCAGCTGAAGAACTACCTGATGAAACTGAAGAAAATGAGTCAAGCCTGGGTCTTTGACACAGGTTTTCCCTGGTAAAGGGAGAAGACTGAAATCGAACTTCTGGTTACTGAAATGATGTTTCCCGTACCTACTCTGTAGCGTCAACATGCTGTGGGTTCTGTATTACTTCTTAACAAAGGCCAACTATGTTCTAGAATATACAAGCTTGAACTTTTTTTCTTGGCACAGTGATTTGATAGGAGCTGTTTCTTGGAGAGGTTTTCTATTTGCAGTTTTTTGTAGGTGGAGGAAAAATACTAACTGAAGTTTTATGGTTAACCTAATCAGTCCTGAATACTGTTCTGAAGATAAAATGAGTATGTATGTGAAAACAACAAAACCCTAATTTTTGAAGACCAAAACCTCCCCTTGTTAGTCTTCGTGTTCTGCTAAGAGGTGCAGAAACTTCTTGTATAGTTACACTTTAATGTGTGTATAGAGAACAACAGGCTTGCAGATCAGCATAAAAATAGCTGGACGCAAAAAATTAGCTACTGTTACTTAAATACTTTTAAAAAGCTATTCTGATAAAAATCTGTCTCCTCAGTCATACAGTATTTGTTCAATCTGTGCAGTTCTTTAGTTCTGAGTACAATGTGTGTGTTTTGTCAGAAACCTCAGCCTGCCTAGTGTGTGTGAAATTGCTCCTGTATTTTTCCTCCTGCTGTTTGTTTTATTTGTTTTTATTTTGTTTTTTTTTTTTTGTTTTGTTTTTTGTAATAACAAGTTAAAAGAGAATATTTTTTTAATGTGATGTGGCATTGTGTGTCTTGTACAGGCTTCAGAAGGAATCTGTTGCTAATTTATATATTGTTGTAGGAGTGGTGCGGTGCTAGCACTGAAAGCTAGGGATGGAGTCTGGAAATCAAACATCTTTTCTTGTTGCCTAGTAGCTGGCTTGAGCCCTTAACTGTACATCTTTTTAATGAACAGTGCTGCTAAATGCACGATCTTCCTTTTGGAACAGCATGTGTATTTTTTATTTCTAAAAAGATCCAGGTCTTACATGTCTGCTCTATTCTATATTAAAAAAACAAATCAGTCTTCTCAAACTGCTGTTTGGTACTGCAAAAATCAGGTGTTAGACTCATCCTCTTGTTTTGAAATATGCCATTTTTAAGTCACTTTTTATTTTTTAGTGTACTTTTTGAGATTTTTAGTTTGTTTGAGAGAGACTTGTTTGTAACTGTCCTAGAAAGCTGCTGGCTGTTCAGTGCTCTCATCTAACAAATGGTTGAAGGCACAAAGAAGGTGTGGCACAGGAGGGGCAGGAATGCCTATTCAGGTGTGCCATGCATTTTCTATGTAGATCAGTTATTCTTGATGAGAAATTGCTGCAACTACCAAACCAATTCAAGTCAAGCTTGGCCTTAAAGTTCTCCTGGAAATTCTTGCCTTTGAATTTGCTTTAAGAATTGTTACGCTGGAGTGCTTGGAAACAATTGTTCTGCTATGTTTTCTGCTAAGTAGCTTTGGTCTACCAGCATATGAAAATGTGATCTGCCCTGCCCACAGTTGTTTCTGAATTTGTGTTAATAATAGCTGTGTCCTATTTCCCAGGGCAAGGATGTGTTCTTTAGAAATCTCTCTGGGCTTATTCTGTGGGCCGTTCTAGTCTTGTCTTGGATGCGCTTGCGTGAATGATAACTTTGTTTCTGGATTGAAAAAGTATGTACACACTTTCTGCTTTTACCAGCAATGTGGTACAAATGTACCAGTTTAGTCAGTGCTTCTGAATGTTTTGCTGCTTCCTTCTGTCAAACTTTGTCTTAGTTTTACTATCTTTTTTATAATAGTAAGTGCATCAGCAATGTGCTTATGCATTTTCCTTTTCACAGGGAAACGTTTGATCTAGTTTTTGAGGATTTTGGTGGTGTCTGGACCTGGTGGGACTCGCTTGTCACTCTTCTTCATCCCTTTTTTTTTTTTTTTTTAGTACTAACTGAATGGTTTTTCAGCCTTTTTCTGCTGCAAATGAGTTCTCATTCTTTTTTGATAGCATTGTAGTGTGTATATATATATATTCTCAGTATATATATATTCTCAGCTGTGCTCCCATAGTCTGCTCTTCATAATATTAATCTTTAGATCCATTAAGGGTCAGCTACTGCTGCTGATTTTCTTAAGTCTGCTTCTTTTGCATGTGTGGTGTTTGACTACTTAAAAGATTTCTTGCATCTTCTATTTTTCTGCCATTTGGCTTGTGCAGCCCCCTTCAGTCTGCCTTTTCTGCCTGATCTCTGCCTGATGTGCAGCTTTCTGCATTGCCAAGTTTCTCTTGCACTCTCAGCACTTTGTGCTGCTTTGCTTCACAATCCATGCATGGCATGATCTGTTTGTGGCACTGTTGCCTCCCACTTCCATGGATGTGACTGCTCAGTCACATCTGGCTTCATATGTGACCACTTAAGCTTTTCAGAGACAGGAAGTACGTAGAGAAATACTGAATACAGACTTGATTTAGTTAACTAATTCTTTTATGCAGACCAGGAAAGAGAGTGTATTTCTGTAGCATTATCTGCACTTGTTCCTATTGTTTCTTATTTTGAAAGAACAAGGGTTTTGCTTGTTTAAGACAGTATGTAAGCTTCAACAAAATGGAAAAGCCACGTAGGTAAGCACTCAAGTTCTACAGTAAGTTTCTGTAGTCAGAGTTGGCTCATGTGTTGTTGCATTCTCTTGCTACCTGAAATGAGCAATTGCTTTTGCAGCTGACTCATTTCTTGCTTTAGGTGCGTTAGGTGAAGAGCCAGCTTAACTTGTGTCATGAAGCAAAGTCATGAAGTCTAAACAGTCTAAGAATGACATTTTGGAGAGGGGAAGAAAGACTTCAGCAATCCATTCATAAGGAGATGCATATGAATGAAGAGAGCGTTTGAGTTTTCATAGCGCGGAAGGAGAGGCAAAGTGACATAATGATCTCTGAGCAGAATGCCGCCATGGAACAAGGGGGAAAAAAAAACGACAACAACAAAACAAACAGAAAACAACAACAACAACAAAAAAAAAAACACCACAAAACTCTGGAAGAAAAAGAAATGCCACTTGTAGGTGAATAAAGTGCTTTCAGCTGTACCTTCAGGTTGAACAATAGAGCTGCTAGCAAATCAGTTAGTAAATGATTGGTGCCAGCAAAGCCTAGGGTTGAAGTTACAATGGGATATAAATATGTGGGTGTTGTGGCATTCTTCCCCCAGGGGGTATTATACAGCTGCTGCTTCTACCCGGCTGTCTTATAACTGTGTGCAAATGATGTAATCATGCCTGCTACTGTGAAGACCTTGGGTGGTCTTTTTGTTTGTTTGTTTTTGTTTTTGCAGTTCCCACAATTAAATTGGTAGATAAAGAATCCTATCAGTTTTCCTTCTTACATACCTTACTAAGAACCCTACCTCCTAGGGTGAGTCTATCCTAGCAAAAAAGAAAAAAAAAAAAACAACAAAAAAACTGCTTAGGACCTACTGTAGGAAGTACGAGACCCTATTTTTAAGTCTGCAGTGCTCTTGTGTGTTGTGTCATGTGTTGGAGTTCTTTTAGTACATCACTGAGTCTGTTCTGCCAATTTGCTTGGCTGAAAAATCTTTGATTTTCTGCAGCCTAGAGAGCTGCCCACATGAGAAGGTGAGAGGTGCAAGGTATTCCCTGAACCGACCAGTAAAGCATCACAATACCAAAAATAAAAAGCCCACTCTACCTTTCTCGCTTTAGCAATTCTTTTACAGATTTAGAGCCACATCTGTTTTGCCCTGTGTCCCGCTTAAATGAGTCACTACAACAGCCTGATTTTGCTCTTTTCGGTTGCCAAGTTGGTTCATGTATAAATTCTGTGATGAACACTTGCCCTGAGGTGCAATCACTCTTTATCATTCTCTTAGTGATTAAAATCATTCTCTTAAACAACCACTACTGATAAGAATCAGAGGGGCAAAGGTAAGGAATTTGTTCATCTGGTCACATATTTATTTTAGACTGTTGAAGTAACCTACGGTTTCCTGAGGATAGCAAAAGGCTTTCAAACCCTGCAGTCATCCGAAGAAAATAAGTTCTACTTTTCCAATCGTTGAATTAACCATGTTGCCTTTATAATGCAATCCTACTAGACTGGAAGCAAATGGATAATACCTGCATTTAGTCTTTTATAAATGCATTACATTTATTATGTCCCCTCTCTTGCAGCTTATCAGTTTACAGCAGGTTCAGCGCTCAAACTGTTTAGACAGCGTTCAGAAGACGGAAATGCAGGTGGGGGTGGAGGAGAGGCGCTGTGATTTCCAGGCAGTGTCTTTTAATTTTGATGTTATTTTCATCAGTTGCATGAAAAACAACAACAACAACCTAGACTTTGCATGCCTGCTTCCTTTGTTTTTAAAAAATGTTAGGCCGGGAAGATGCAGTGGGGAGTAAGGAAGAGGAGAGTTCTGTGTTTTGTTTGTTTTTTTTTTAATGCTTTTATTGTTGGACCTAGAAATAAATTTATTCAACATCGAGTAATCCCTTGAGAAAGGGAGCACAGCATACATGCGATCTTATTTGAAGGCCATTATCGAAACCAGTGTCAAAGCCCACCAGTCCACAAGCTGTGGCCACCGTCAGTTCAGTTCTTGCCTTACAATACCGCGCAGTTCTGCTGTGCGGGTGAACCCTTTCTGTGCTTCGTTGCACAGGGGGCTATTACTCTAATTCCTCTGGTAGTCACCGAAACGATGCAGGATCGTAGTAGTTAAGATAGGTATGAATGGGAATGTCGGTGTGGAAGGCACCGAGATTAGCGGGTCTTCAAAGTCCTGCAATACACGTCCGTGCGGGTCGTCAGGAAACAAAGGACCCGAGCAGTGAGCGGATGGCTCTGAGAGGCAGGGCGGGACGGTGATTACGGATACAAAGAGGTCTGTCCGCAGTCAGCACGCGATTGCCAATCTAAGAAGAGTCCGAAGTCAAAACAAGTCGGTAGCTACCGCTCCTCGTCCTGAGCGTTGTCACAAGCGGTCCTGGACCGAGCTGGGTTCTGTAGTCTTGGCGCTCGGATGCTGCTTCTTGAACACATGAGTCCAGGTACTTGTGAGTTTGAGAGCATGAGTGCAGATGAATGAAATCAGTTTGGCTTTAAAATTCAATCCTCTTCTCTTTTGATATTGGATGGCTTTAGGGCTTGCGGTGTAGCTGCTGCAGTGGCGAC